AAGGGCATGGAAAAGTACTACTCCCATCCCATGAAAGGAGATTATGGAACAAATAGAATTCCAATATAGAATGGAACATAATTTTGTTTCCAATACAGGTTTGTGGATGTCTTATGATAATGTGGTTACCCTGGACAATATATAGAGATAATTATCATGGCTCTACTGATGTTTAAACTGGCCTCATGTCGACTCAACTTCTGTAAATTTTCTACTTTTTTTTTTTTTGTGTCTATTTTTGTTCTTGTCTGGAATTGTGTAGAGTGGTAATGAGAAGGACTAAGAAGGTACGAGATTACTGGGATTATATATACAAGAGATCTTGATGCTCCTCATGTTTCCCCTCCTATCTCGCTATTAATGTTTAGATATACAATTCTCTATACTAGTATTATTTATTATCTACTGTAATTTTATCTAAAAGATGAGAATATGCATTTTATCCCAACCAAATTTATATATTGTATATGTTCTAAAAGAATGTCTACTGTCTTTGTATAAAATGAAAACTTAATGTTTAAATAAAAAAAGTCTTAAAATCTGCAAAGGGTTGGCGAAGTCTGCAAAACCTCGGGTTATGTATAGGACAAAGTTCTAAGATAAGCACTGTACATGAAAACAAGTGCTTCTGTTTATGCCATTGGTTTTCATGTGACTATCAATTTTTTATTTATTTTTTTTAAACTTTGTCCCACAGCTGTACTACTTTTCCTCAGGGAAACCCAGCCTATGATATTTAAGAGGCTTTTCAGTTTACATTTTAATAACTATTGTATTATAGCTTAAGTACAAAAGTACATTTTAAGTATAGTAACCTTAAGAGGGCTCCTTTTCGAACCACTGATTTAGATGTACATGCAGTGATATTAATTTTCAGTTTAAAATATTTTTACATTTTAGGGTAAATTGATTTAATCTAAATCTATTTTTCTTTTTTTTGCAAAAATGCCTCTAATGCCCTGACATTTTGTTTAGTCCTTTAGACAAACGATGCTGTATAAGAAGCTGCAGACTGCAATGCACATTTTTGCACAGCTGTAAAATATCTGCGTTCTTTCATAATATTGCCAAAGTTACATTGTGCAGACGATGTGCGTACACGTGTTGGATAACACAGATGTTCCTGGTTAGCTGCTCAAAGTGGCAGGCCTAGAGTAATTCATTGGTTTGCTTGAAACGTATTAAGATAATCTATGAGGAATGAAACTCCTAGTGACACACTGGCTCAATTCTAGTACTGTGAAGGTGTTCATATGAAGGGGGATTTGTGACCGTGTATATCAGCATGTTTTTGGGCGAGGAAAAAGGAGTGGAGCATTCACAACTTAAAGGAATACTTGTTTTACAAAGAAGGGGCTGTCCCCAGAAACAAGACTTCTATAAGGGAACAAACACTAGGAAAGAGGGCAGAGGATAGAGTCCATAATAAAACGCACCACAATAGAGAACCTAACCCTATCTTAAATCATAAGAATGGAATAAGGAGAAAGAATCTGTGCTTTGGAGAGAATTTAAATTTGCTCCAACCATGGCTGTAAATACATTTTAAAGTTTTGTTAAACAAAACAATGAATTCTGTGCTGATGCGTTTTTAAAGGGAACCTTTAGTCCTAAAGAGAAGTCTTTAATTTTCTAGTTAGTGTTGGCAAAGTAGAGTCTTAGATTAGGCATGATATCCAGAGAACTCTATCGCAGGATCTCAATGTGTTTCAATACCATAAAGATGATATGTCACTTTCCACTGTTTCATAGTTATAATCTTTATGAAATACCAATTTAGAATGTGTTGGTATTTTACAGAATGCTAGCGCAATCCAAATTTTATGAGACAAAGTAGGGACTATTTTGTCTTATGAAAAAGCCTGAGGTTAGTAAAAGGAGCTCCTCTGTCAATTTTTTTTTGTCCAATCCCAGAAGCCATCACAAATGATTGCTGTGAGATTCAGGCTTTATATATGGAGGATCCTGTGGTCAATTACCCAGATTATCTGCCTTGCAAAGATTTCTTATTATTTTTAGTATAGGGAAGTCTGTTATTGGGCAGCCACAGAATGTCTGACAAGGGTTGGAAGCAGGCCCGGACTGGCCATCGGGCACACCGGGCAAATGGAGCCGAGGCCGGCAGGGAGATCACAGGATCTCTCCTGCCGGTCTTTGTAGTGCCGGCACTATCTGAGCGCCGGCCCTGCAGTAGTCTACAGCGGGCCGGTGGGGAGTTCAGAGATTGGCCCACATAGAGTATACTGCGGCCGCCGGCGGGGAGAGAGAGAGGGAGGGAACCAGCCTGCCAGCAGAGGAACGCGGACGAGCTCTAACTTACAGCTTCGCCGGGTTCCTCTCGCAAGATTTGGGGCGTTGCCATGGCAACGCTCCGGGTCTCGCGAGAGTGAACTCTAGCCTCACAGGGATGGATGGCAGCCCCAGCAGCAGGATCCCTCCTCCCAGGCTAAAGGTAAGCAGGGAGGGGGGAAATAACTCCGGTATAATCACAGCAGCCTCATTCACAGCACACACCCTGCAGCCCTAACACTCACAGCACACACACACTGCACCCCTAATACTCACAGCACACACACACACTACACCCCTAACACTCACAGCACACACACACTGCACCCCTAACACTCACAGCACACACACACTGTACCCCTAACACTCACAGCACGCACACACACACACACACACACACTGCACCCCTAACACTCACAGCACACACACTGCACCCCTAACACACACTGCACCCCTGACACTCACAGCACCCTCACACACACTGCACCCCTGACACTCACAGCACACACACACAGTGCTCCCCTGACACTCACATCACACACAAAATGCACCCCTAACACTCACAGCATCCTCACACACACACACTGCACCCCTGACACTCACAGCACCCTCACACACACTGCACCCCTGACACTCACAGCACACACACACTGCACCCCTGACACTCACAGCACCCTCACTCACACACACTGCACCCCTGACACTCACAGCACCCTCACTCACACACACTGCACCCCTGACACTGACAGCTTCCTCACATGCATACACTGCACCCTCACACAAACACAGCAACCACTCACACACAGCACCCTTACCCACATCAGCATTCAGTGAATGTTTACATGGTGTGTTCAATAAAAACATGGCAACATTTCATTCTTTGTGTGTTATTAGTTTAAGCAGACTGTGATTGTCTATTGTTGTGACTTAGATGATGATCAGATCACATTTTATGACCAATTTGTGCAGAAAGCCATATCATTCCAAAGGGTTCACATTCTTTTTCTTGCAAGTGTGTGTATGTATGTATGTATGTATGTGTGTGTGTGTGTGTGTATATATATATATATATATACACACACACACACACAGTGGGACCTCCGTTTACGAATTTAATGTGTTCTCCTGGAAGTTTCTTATTGCGAAAAATTTGTAAGCCGAAACGCAGTTTCCCATAGGAATGCATTGAAAACCAATTAATCCGTTCTGGAGGTCAGAAAAAAAGTCAAAATGAGCTGACATGGAAACCAACCCACAATGCAGAACACACAATAAAAGGCATGCAAATGACGAAGCTCAGCTACCTTTCCACAGCTTGAGAAATGCACCAAAAAGTCCCCAAACAACTGCAAATAATTTCCAGAATGGCTCCAAAACTCTATGCAAACGCCGCTCCAACACCTCCGCACTCGACAAGGCGAGGCTCCAGCATGCAGGGGATAGTGCTATAAAACTAACAGATGCAATGCATCCTGGGGAAACTTGCTTTGTATTGTGAAAAAATTTTGTAAATCGGGTCATTATTTTCAATGGATTTTCATTTGTAAACCGAATATTGTGTGTGTGTGTGTGTGTGTGTGCGCGCGCGCGCGCGCAGCCCTCTTGGTTTCTTTTATATATTTGGGAGTCCCGGGCCAACTCCTGGGTTTTGCACCCCTCCCTGTCACAGGTGTCTCATTCCATGACCCTATTTAGCCATGACTTGCAGAGAGTCCCAGTAAGGAAGTATTTCCCAAGTAAGTGGATTAATCTCATAAGAGCACGCATTAGGCTGCTACTAGGATAGGACCTGCCGAATATGGGGTACTTTGACGTAGTTGGCAGGCTTATGCAATGTATGATCATATAATGTAACTAAACCCCCATAATTATTTGCCTAGGTGAGGTGTTTTTAAATAAAACTATTACAATCTCTGATTTGAAATCATTGTTTAGTGAATAAGCGAGTGCGCTGGATTCTGTATTTTGTGTGTGTGTGTGTGTATGTATGTATATATGTGTGTGTGTGTGTGTATATATATATATATATAGATATATGTGTGTGTGTGTATATGTATATATAATTTTTTATTTTTTTTGTTCCCTTAACACAGGATACCTGCAATAGTTTAATGTTTAAATATTTTCACAGAATCTCACTGGAGTTATTGTCTGTGTTTTGACTAGGCTCAAACTCTAGCCTTCCAGATGTTGCTGGCCTACAACTCCTAGACTTCTGTGAATGCAATAGACAGCCAGAGAAACATGGGAGTTAGTTAATATTGAGTGGGTCCCAGATGTTTTAAAGCAGGCACATCACATTCATCTGACCTGACCTCAAGCGTTTGGCCAAGAAGTATTTTGCTATTGCAGTGTCACTGGTGGTGCTGTAGAGAACCTTCTTGCATTTTTTTTTTTTTTTTAAATATGTTCTGCAAAACTAATTTTGTTATATGCAGCTGAAGAATTGAAACTGAGCTAATTAAGAGAACCCAAGAATGAGTAACCAAGCTATGTAATGTGTGTCCCTGTTAAAAAGTAAATAACTGTTAAATATTGCCTTTGCATTGTGCACTTGTTTCTCTTTACTTGCAATGGCTAGCCACCTATACTGGAATGCAATGATAAAAATGTGCCCTGTTTTACAAAAATAATCTAATCCAGTTATTTCTATGGCTTTATTTGGCGTTGCCAACACAAACACTGGTAGTGTGAGAGTCTTGTTGCCAGACCTCCTATTGAGTGTTTGGTCTAAGCATTGTGGGTGTTGTTCCCTATTGTTTGTGACACAGTGTGTATTTTGTGTGTGCCGCTTCGGCCTCCTCCCTCCAAACTTCCTCCTCCTTCCGGTGTGTTGGATTGGTGCTGCACGGTGTGTCACGGCGGAGGGGGAGGGAAGCTGATGGCACTGAGGGGAGGAGGTTGATCAGGATGACGAGGTGAAAATGGCGGATCTTTCGAAATACAATCCCGGCCCCTGACATTCCGGGAGAGTCTGCAGAAATCTCCAAAGCTCTCTGTGCACCCCTTACATCGGTGGCCTGGCACCCCCCTACTCCGATCCCACCACCGCTAGATTCCCACTGGGCTCACGTCCATACTGTGTCCCGGCGGGAGACCTGAGCGGGCTAGATCAGCTGGATGCAGGGAGCGATCCCCACCCGGTATAGTTAATAGCATTGTGCGCTGAGGAAGTGCGACAGAACCGCATCGCAGGCTTGGAGGAGGTGAGAGAATGCCGTAGCACTGGGATATGACAATTCGTCGTGTTTGGGGAGGGTGAGGGGGGTCACTGACACAGCAATGATGAGCTGTCTGCTCCCAGGGCCTCCCACTGCCTATCAATTTTTTTTATGGAACTGACCACCGAATGCTTGGAACGTTCTGAAGGTTCGATCTGCATTCTAGTGCTTCTTCAGCGTTTCAAGTCATGGTTGGCAGGAGGATGGTTTTGTTTACAGAATCTTTGTTGTAGCCGTTTGTTTCATACGTTGCTTATACGTTGGGGTCAGCGATATAGAGAAGAAAAAAACCCCAACAACAATATGTATGTCAGCTTACCCTCTAAAATTGATTTGTGCAGTTCTTCAGTTGAATGTGATTTGTTGTTTGGAAACTTGTTAGAGGCAGCTAGGCAATACTGACAATCCAGTTTATTTATGATTCCCTTTAACAGTTGCTAATGACACATTTGCTGACCAAAATGTATTGGTGTCAGAATGACCAAAAGGCAAATCCTCAGCTGTTGACACTAGTCATCAAAACAACTACAGCTTAATGTAGTTGTTCTGGTGTCTACAGCCTGTCCCTGCAAGCATTTTAATGTAAACACTACCTTTTTGGAGAAATGGAGGTGTTTGGACACCTCCAGTGGCAGTCACTGGAGTGTCATCAGCCATCCCAGAATTAGTGTTTTGGTTTTCTTTGCAACTTTCACTGCACAGAATATCAGTCATTGGCTAAGATTGGTAAGCTGACGTTCTCAGTCAATGAATGGCGATAGCAGTGGCTCTGCATAAGCAGTCCAGTGAGGACCCAAGTAAGAGGGCAAACTGTTTAGCAATGGTTTGCTCCATTAATGGAAAACTGCACCAGGGTACTCCTGGCATCATAACCACTACAGCGGGGTGTAGTGACTATGATGATTGGAGTAACGCTTTAACTCAGATTTAAATTTTTTTATACCATAAATGTGCAGTAGTGTGCCCTTTTAAGCCTTTAACCCCTTAAGGACACATGACATGTCTGACCTGTCATGATTCCCTTTTATTCCAGAAGTTTGGTCCTTAAGGGGTTAAAAGGCAGCTGTCATGCCCCAAACAACTTGTGCTAATTAGATTGAGCATTATATTTTATCTATACATTGTGCAAGCAGTTCTGCTATCTATTGTATAGATTAGGAGAAAACCCCATTTTAAAATGTTTTGTTTTTTTTTTCCTCCCAGCTGTCAGGCACCGATTCACAAAGGAGGGCAATAAAGACCACTCACAGGAGGTCCCTCTGCTGTCCTCCCACATAGCATCGTGGATGCTAAAGTAACTTCCTAGCTGGCACTTCTAGCACTGGAGTGAAATGTCGTCACTCCATTCCGATGCCGGCACGCTGGCAAAGAAGCCAGTGTGCCGACGTCACTGATAAGGTTTGCTGTGCAGGGGGGGTAAAGTCCCCAACAGAGCAAATCAAAGAACAGAGGCGGCCTTGAAGTGGGTATTACAGAACAGAGTAGGCTCCTTGCTGCAGCTAGATCAATCATCTATAAAGTCATCAATATGTATTACTTTTTCAATCAAATGCTTTCTAGAGAAACAACTAGACATATGGCACATATTTACGACAAACAATGCAGTCTGCCAATCCAATGCTTCTCATAGAGAAGTACTGGACAGAAACCCTGTGTCAGCATAATTTAAATGTTTAAGTTAGACGTAGAATAGATTGTTATTGCATTTATTTTAGCCAGAAGCTCTTAGCGGCTGTTGAAATATCAACCACTAGATGAGAGAAAATTGCAAAATGTAAACTGTGCTGTTTATCGGAAATGGCACTATTTTCATATGCAAGACTGTAGTCGAAACATCTATATCCCATGGAGTGATTTGGTGCTTACAGCAGCACTCATAATTTCCACTCACTACTAGCCATTGACAAGTCAAAATTGAGCCCTGGAGAGTAGAATTCATGATGAGTATGCTGTGGTAAGTCATTTTAAAAGCCTAACAAGTAGTGCTTATAGTGTTACTTTTGAATTCATGGCCTACCTGTAAGACTATTTATAGAAACAGACAGGTGTTTCCTACTATGTTTATGAAAAGGATAATTTTTTGATTTTTAATGAATTTGAAACTTGTGTTAAATTATGCAAAACGTGATAGAATATATCATAAACAAAACACTAATATAGTGTTATTTTAATATGTAATGCCAACAAAACATAAGCATAAAATGTAATTGTTTTTCTTAAACAGCCTTTACTACTGTGAATAAACGGATATTAAATATGTGTGTAAATATGTGTAGTTTAAATCATGAGCTGACTAATGAAGATTCCTTTGAATTTTATTTATTTCATTGTACCTCTGGTGCCATTGTTATAGACTACTGCAGTTTTAATTTCAAATTCTTACTTTGTTTGCAGTTTGCAATCCCCATCATGCTCAGGCAGATATTACGCTTGATAGAAGTTAAGTATGTAGCAGCTTGAGTGGCAAATATTTTAACCTTTTCCTCCAATTCCCTTGTACACATTTAAACAATGCAATGCTATTAAAGCAACACCCTACACACCATAACTACTGCAGCTCTCTGGGGTGGTTATGGGCCTTGGCACCTCCAGTGTAAGAAATCAACACCTGTTTTTGAACAGGTTTACTTTTTACCTGGGTTCTGTCAAGTAACAGTTATGAGCTTGCTGGGCTGAAATAGTAGCAATGGCGGCATAGTCGCAGTGGGTCAGAGTGTCTCCGCCTAGGATTCCCTTTCCCTGATTATAGCTCATAGTCTATAGCTTATTGAGTTATAGCGGGTTCACCCAAGCACTAGTCGATACTTAGTGTAGGGTGACACATAACTGATTTTATACCTGCGTCCCAAAAAGGTCGTCACCGGGAGAACAATAAACATTGCGACATAGCTAGTGCCTAGGTGTCTGTACCCAGTCAAGTAATTAAATTAGAGGACACCTCAGCTCCAGTTAACATTTTTTATAATAAAAACAGGGTTCCCAAACAAAAGCTTTGAATGCCCATTCGGTCTAAAAAGTGCTAGGATCTTAGGTATCTAGCCTGAGGTAGCTGGAAGTTAAGTTGTGACCAAGCCGCAACCGTCATCCTATCTGGCACAGAGTTCCACAGTACTGGGTGGGAAATGCTGGTCACTTAGTCATTGGTATTGTTTGATGGCTCTCCACCTCCTCTGTCACCCCTCCAAATAGAGAGTTGGGTGACTCTGGGACTGAGCGCCCTGGCCAAAGTTTTACCAGACCACGGCAACTCCGCAATCTGATTAGGAGTTCCAGAGAGTATGTTGGTTGCTCCAGGTCAGGCACGCCATGCCTTTATGGGTTTCCTGCCAGTCCGTGATGACTCCTGGGCTTCTGAATAGGGGTGGTATTCTGGGAGGCATGGGCTGGAGGGGGAAATGTAGTGATTATAGTCTTTGTTGGGAACTATGTACCAGTCTCGGATGACCGGGTGGTCTGTCACATTAGCTGATTGCTCTCAATCAATGAGCTAAGCTCTGCATCTCCTGGTTCAGCTCAGAGTAGAGCGCTTCCAGCTGTCAGAGAGGCGGTGACTGACACCTGGCAAAATCCAGAGAAGGAAGTCAAACTGTTACAAGGTAGACTTGGGCATCAATGGGTCTTTCATTTTTAAATATGATGGTTGAAAGTATTTTGTATGTTCTAGTTAAACAATATTTATTCACAAAAGTGGTATTGTGGCCCTGACAATTTCTATCTTTCTATGGAAAGGTGGAAGGGGTTTTCAATCACAATTTGTCCCCACCATAACCTATTTGGATTTTGCTTCCCAAGCACTACCAAGCCTCAATAAGCAAACCAGTAACCAACCTCATGCTGATGAGTTGCACAGCTGTCAATGAGTGGTTCACTGGTTTTGCATCTTTTCCTAAATTGTTTTCCAAGCAGTTGTATACTGCAAACACAGGTTAAAAGGAATCCATGTTTAAAATGGAATGAGGCAAAAATGTTATTCTTTGTTAAACTAATTTGCATATGCCCACCCAGAATCCTTTGCGGTTGTAACATCACTGTAGATTTGGGATTTATGTGTGAAAAGCAAGTCTTATGGCTTGACTGGTGTGCAGATTTTTGTTTAACATTGTATTAACTATCCACAGACTTAAGGTGGAAGGGGTTTTCAAGCACAATTTTTCCCCACCATAAACTTTTTGGACTTTGCTCCCTATGGAATATACACATAAATGACATGATACATAATTAAAAACACTGATATAAATTTTTTTCTTTACCTCAATTAGCCAGCAAAAGACATTCTTGATGGCAATATTTTTTTCCCCTTGTAAGCTGATCTTGTTTACAGTGAGTTGCTCATTGCTGCTTGAGAAGGGGCCTCTGTAAACTATCATGATGACTTATTTTTTTTTAAAAAAAAACATAGGAAGGACAGGGATATGTAGTCGGGTTGCTGAGGATAATTGGGGGGTAACCCCTGATAGGTAACACTTACAGAAAGAGGAGGAGAGGAAAAAATACATGGAAGCCTAGAGGTTATAGAGTGTCAATTTCTTAGGCTTCCAATGTATAGAAAGCAACCCAGTGAGAATTAATATAAAATTTAACTTTTAATTGATACTTTTAAGATCGCAGTAGATATAAAGAATAAAAAGGGGACTAATAGAGAAAGGGGAAAAAAGACGTATGTTTAAAAGTATGGCAGTAAAGACCTAAAATAAGGGTTCTGCCACCAAATCACACAATCATGTCCAACTACTTTCAGCTAACACCATTGAGACAGGACGCCATGACCTAAACTACACTCCTGCATCTAGGGGTTTACGATTCAACTTCAGCCGGTATCATGCGACCGTTATGAAAGTGATTACAATCAAAATTTCGCAAACTTATTTTTATGTGGAAACCTTTGCCAAAATCAGAAGCTTCTGTCTTAAAACCAGGCCTAAACCGTAATTACATTGTTAAAAGGTTACTCCAGTCACATTAGGCATTCTTTTTATATTGTCTTTAAACTATTAATCAGCGTTCTTAAGGCCTCCATTTTTTCCAGCTTTTTTTTTTCATAAGGGGGTTGATATAGAATTCTCAGTGCGGACAATATGAACATTGAGACAATTCTAATTGGTTAAGTAAACTCAAAGTGGCTTAGAATTGCAGTTACCAGATCTGCGCATAGCCTGGTTCAATGTACAGTAACCTGGGCTATGTGTAAACGGATGGCAAACATGGTATGGCTGCTATCAGGCTACATAATAACCACTGTGTTATGAGTGGAACGGTCCTCAGGGCAAGAAAACTACTTCTCCATAAACTTCTGACAGCAGAGATTTGTGGGATAAGAGCAGGCCTCCTAGACAAGAATGAGTCGCTCCTCACTGGCAGACCCACTAAACATTGTTATGCTTGGAATTTGAAAAGGAATATTTATTTCCATTTGGTTTTGCATTGTATAAATGTTCCCTGTAGTCTCCCCTTAAGTCCAAAGAAAATAGTTTTACTTTAGGGATTACTATATTTAACTGACTGATGGAAGTACAATTTTGCTGACATAGTATTTTCACTGAATGCAGCTGGACCGGTTTTCTTTTGAGTATCCTCTAACTCTAAAATGACTTTTTTATTTATTTTTATTTAAAATGTTTCTCTTGCTGATTCTGGACAGACTGCCAAATGTGTTTTCGAAGATATTTTTATCTGTCAGATTAGTTATTTAATAATTTCAGCACTGCTTTAAAGTCAGTGTTACAGGGTTAGTCACTAAAGTCTGAATTGCCCCATACTGAAAAGGGCAAAATAATCCAGCTGTGTATGGGATCATTCGGACTGCAAAATTAGAAAATTGTTCTCATTCTTTAAAGGGACAAAATAGTCCTCAAAACACTTTAGCTTAATGAAGCAGTTGGTGTATAGATCATGCCCCAGCTGTCTCACTGCTAAATTATCTACCACTTAGAAATTGTTTATGCAGCCTTAGTCACATCTTCCTGCACGGGTCTTATACAGCTTTTCTAAACGCTTCCTGTAAAAAGTAATCTAATGTTTACACTTCCTTTATTGCACAGTCTGTTTAATTAAAATGCCATACATCCTCCTGTTACTAGTTTGATAGCACCTACAGAAGCCTATTGTATGTATTAAAGTTCAAATTACAGAGCAGGAGATAAAACTTTTAAAGTAAGTTACATCTGATTACCATTTTGTCTTCATGCAGGCTGTGTCAGTCACAACCATAGGAGATGTGGCTAGGGCTGCATAAACAGAAACAAGTGATTTAAAGGGACACTAGTCATCAGAACAGCTACAGCTTAATGTAGTTGTTCTGGTGAATATAGTCAGTCCCTGCAGCCTTTTTGCTGTAAACACGGCCTTTTCAGAGAAAAGGCAGTGTTTACATTGCTGCCTATGGACACCTCCAGTAGCCACTCCTCAGATGGTCACTAGAGGGGCTTCCTGGGGCTTTGAGTGGAGACACAGGACTTTCCCATAGAGATGCATTAATTCAATGCATCTCTATTAGGAGATAATGATTGGCCAGCGGGTTGTTTGGCCTCGCTCCTGGCCTGCCTCTTTGACTAGATCAGCCAATCCAATGCTTTTCCTATGGGAGCTTATCGATTCTGATGTCGGCCAAGGAGGCGGATCGGGGGCAGAGCCAAATACCAGTATTTGAAATAAGGTGAGTTTTCACCCTATTTAAAGGAGCACTATAGTGCCGGGTTAACAAACTCGTTTTCCTTGCACTATAGGGTCATTAGGGGCCCCCCTCCCACTAGGCTGAAGGGGTTAAAACCCTGGTGACCTCTCCTCCCGCCGACATCAGCTCCGAATGCGCAAGCAAGGCAAGAGCCGCACGCGCATTCAAACCGCCCATAGGAAAGCATTACTCAATACTTTCCTATGGACGTCCAGCGTCTTCTCACTGTGATTTTTCACAGTGAGAATCGCGGAAGCGCCTCTAGCCACAATAGGGTCAGGAATACACATTTGTGTGTCTGATCCTATAGTGTTCCTTTCACTCCTAAATGGCAGTAAAACTTCAGAGGCATGATCTATACACCAAAACTGCTTCATTAAGCAAACGTTTTCTTGGTGACTATAGTGTCACTTTAACAAAGTATGGATCATGCAATTCTGTCTCGGAATGAGCCTGAATTCGGTCTAGATTTCAGCCAGATTGTACGCTGATGGGTGGCTGAAATCCAGACCCGAAAAGCTTCAAGTTTGGCATTGGGCAACTTGTTTAGGCTGGCAAGGAATCATAGGAGTTGTAAGAGATGTGGATATACTTTTTGGCCACCCTTGCCTTAACCTGTACATTAACCTTGTAGCAGAGGTTAAAGACCTTCATCGCTTCCTCATTTGCATACCGCCAAATTGTAAATTCTATGAGACTGCAGGTCTGCAGACTTGGCTGGCACACATAGTTTTGGTTAAACAGTGCTATTCTGACTAGACTTCCTTTAGACACTCTGCTGAAAAGTCTGTTGGGGATACTAGAATATATTTGTCCTTTCACTCCTTTTGTTGTATCTAAAGATCTTATGTCCAGCTGTTGCCATTCAGCTTTCCCAGCCTTTTGATGTCAGAACAGAAGCAATGATAAACAGAGCAGAATAAAGAGGAATGTCTTGTTCTTTATAATGAAAACAGATGGCATGATAGGAAAAGAACAGTATAGAATATTATTGTCTTGAAGGTCAATTATTTACAGGTTATATCATTTGTAGCACTGTTGTGTGTGTGATTTCTTTTTTTTCCCCCCGAATATTGTTTATGCAACAGGTTACCAGAAAGCATACATTAAGCTTTGTCTTGATTTTTCATGGAATACTATAGCATTAGAATTACATATGTGTATTCCTAGCCCTGTTGGCTAGAGAAACTGCTATGTTTATGAATGGGTTAAGCCTTCCCCTATTTCCTCTAGTGGCTGTCTCATTGACAGCCGCTAGAGGCGCTTGCATGCTTCTCACTGTGATTTTCACAGTGAGAGCACGCCAGCGTCCATAGGAAAGCATTGCCGCGCGTGCGAATTCAGGAGAGGAGGAGGATCGGAGGAGGAGAGCTCCCCGCCCAGCGCTGGAAAAAGGTAAGTGTTTACCCCTTTCCCCTTTCCAGAGCCGGGCGGGAGGGGGACCCTGAGGGTGGGGGTACCCTCAGGGCACTATAGTGCCAGGAAAACTAGTATGTTTTCCTGGCACTATAGTGGTCCTTTAATTACTGTAATTTTCTCCTAATTGGTTTCCTCAGAAAACTTGCTACCTCTCTACTGCCTGTAAAGAATGCTGCCGCTAGTCTGATTTTTCTCTCCTAGTGCTCCTCTTGCACCTCGCCCCTCTTTAAATCCTTACATTGGCTTCATTTACCCTACAGTAGTCAATTCAAAATACTAACCCTAACCTACAAAGCTCTAAACAACCTAGCCCCTGTTTTATATTTCTCCACTAATTGTAGGTATGCCCATTCTTGGTCTCTGCCCTCTACAGGTGACCTTCTCTCTGCTGCTCGCACCCTTACTGCTAACTGACACTTGCCGGATGTCACAAATGTGGACTATTGGCCCAGCCGAGACAGTGGGGTGAGCGTGGAAGTGAAAGAGTTAATGACTCCAGACCCCTGGTTACCTGTTGCTAGTCGCAGCAACCACTAAATTAACCCCTGTAATCCCTTCTACACTAACACCTTAGTACACACTTTACTGCCACCACCAAGACTTTATATCAGGGCGTCTTCGGTTACCCCACACACAGTAGAATTATAGGATCACAACCTTACTTTACTGATCAGACATATATAATTAACACTTTTGGTAAAGTGTTTACCTGAGCTTTCCTGAGAAGAGTGAGCTCATAGAGAACAAAAACACAAGCTGATTAAGTAAACATTTAATCTGACAAAAAGGATTCACAGTGCTGTGTCAAAAATACAGAAATAAATTCTATACATAAACCCAGAAAACAAATTCCAAAACAGTCCATAAAATAGGAGAAAACACAAGAAATTCCTTACATATATTTATCCCTTATATATAATTCTTGTGGGAGATGCAGATGTTACAGGTCTCCAAGAAGTTGTAAAAGAAGAAAGGAAAAAAGAATATCTCACTGGATAGTCCAACATCCGCAATATATACCTTAAACTAGTTGTTTCAAAGTGGGAAGAACCCTGGGTGGATCAGAGTGGGTTTGGCCTGGCAGTTTATTGAGAGATATATATATATATATATATATATATTATTATTATTATTTTTTTAATTAAGATGTTGTCATGAACCCAAAGTCAGAGCAACTGCACCAATACATTTTACGATTCCCTATCTCCAGCTCTGGTGATGATTATCTAGTTGTTTTATGGCTTGGTCCTGGTGTAAGATCAAAGCCTACAATAAATGTTATCCCAACATGTACAAAAACAACTCCTAACATATATCAAATGCCAATTCATGCTTTGGCATGACACCGGACTTCTCGCAGGTGGTCCCATTTTGTTTGTAACAGTCTATCTACCCCATCGAACTCTCCTCTTGTCTAAAATCATTTAAGAAGTACATCAGAATCTCCTCAGGAAAAACATATTGCCTCTAAGAGTAACTTCTATTTCACAAACCTATATCTTTTTGAAAAGGTCACACACCACTCCCACCTTCCAGTTATTCTATTTTTCCACCTTGTTGTTTGGTGTCTATCACCCTTGATTCCCTTCCTGTTGTGTTTTTATAACCCACCTCCTCTAGATTGTAAGCTCTTTTGATCAGGGTCCACCTACTGTTTCTGTAACAATTTGTCTCACTAATTGTTAACTTTCTTCCTTTATAATATTGTAAAGTTCTGCGGAACAAGTTGATGCTATATAAATGCCAATAATAAAAATAGTGCAGGGCTTGACAAATTCACAAATCTCGGGAGCCCATGAAGAAACCTTTACATTACAATATCAAATGCATGGTATAATTAAAGGAACATTGTGTCAGGAATACATTGTACTGCTGGTGAAGCTGTTTAGGTCCCCAGCAGATAACTCTGAAAAGGTGTTTTTACTTACCTTGTCTTCCACCCCAGTCTCCACCTCTTAGACACTGGAGGCGCTTCCTGCATTTACACAAAGTTTAACTTTGTGAAACAACACTTTGCAGGCGGACGTCCAGCGACTTCTAAACCCCCATAGGCAAGGATTGAGTCAATACTTTCCTATTGGAAAGGCTTAATGCGCCATGTATGCGCACTAGGTTCCCATGATAGGTTCACGTTGTTGTTGTTGTTGTCGGAACTTAGTGCTGGAATTAGATAAGTTTTTAAAGGGTTATTTATCCCTTTCATGGATGGGGGAGGGGAACTGGGTGGATAGGGGCAAGGAGACAGAGGGACTGTTTGTATTCCTGTTTGTATAGTGTTCCTATAAGTTCAATTAACTTGGATCAAGGAAATTTATTGACCAAAAATGTAAGCCTAGAGCTTCATGCTACATACGGTAATTATCCAATACTTAAAGGGACACTCCAGGCACCCAGACCACTTCTGGGTTCTTAAACATCTTTTTGCTTTCCTATGGAGAGGTCGATTGCGCACGCGCATTGCGCATTAGGTCTCCAGTGCTGGCGGACATCAGCGGGGAAGGCGCATTTGGTGCTGGATTCAGGAAAGTGTCTCACGGGGTTTTAACCCCTTCAGCAACATGGGATGGGGGGCACTGTAGGATTCTCTAGTGCCAGGAATATGGGTTGTTTTCCTGCCACTGGAGAGTGCCTTTAACCTCTTAACGACGCTTGACGGAAATTTTCCGTCAAAATTTTCCGTCAAGGCAAACCTACCGTTAAGGACGCTTGATGGAAAATTTCCGTAATTTACTAAAGTTAACACCAGATGACGGGGTTAACACTCCTCCGGTCTGCTTCGGTATTCGAGGCAGACCAGGAGCACCCGATCGTGCTGTCCCTGCAGCTGTGATCACTCTCTGAAAGGCTGTAGGGACTTATGATCCGCCTCCTTGTGCTTTCGTGTTCAGTGTGAAGTACAGGGAGACGGATCAGCAGTGATCTTTTCCCTGCGTGAAAAAAATTTAGTTTAAAATCCAACCCCTTGCCTGCCAATTGATCACTGACTTAAGTGATAGCCTTGTCTCTTATATGGCATTGTAGCTTCACAGAATAGTGCCGAAGGCATACAATGGGGGTATCGTTATACTCAGCAGATGTAGCTTAACACAATATGGGGTGCAGGAATAGTACACACCAGCTTTACGAAATAAACATTACAAAAACCTTGTTATGTGTATATGCCAAAACAGAGGGAACCCCCCCACCCCCACACACAATTTTACTCTAGTATTTAGCAGAGATTGGCGATGAAATGGCTATGTAAAAAGTGTCAAAATAACCTTAGGTAAATAGCTGGTGATGTCTACTTTATATACATATATACTTTTGTTTTAAATATGTTTATTGTCAGCAATATAAACACGGGTGTTGAACTTGGTATCATTAATGCATATAGTTGCCTACGCAGAGGCGTGCACGTTGAAAGTGTACATAATGTGAGGCCGACATATTCCAGTTAGCTCAGAGTAACACATAGTTGCCTGCGCAGAGGTGTATAAGTCAAAATAAACACGCAATGACAAATATTAGATATTTATAAGCCTTGCAGAGCTAGACATGCAGAAGGTGGTGAGCTTGCTTGGTATTGCGTTGTTAGGGCGTTGTTGTCAGGTATGTAGTGGCAATTTGGGGTGGCAGTTAGTATCATGTATTCAGCTATCGACTCATTAAATGGTGCTAGTGTGGCTCGTTAATAATACACTGTTTTCTTCTGAAATGCCTGTGTTTGCGTATTTATCCCTGTTGCCATAAACTGCAGTGAAGGCCCATCTTGCGAAAATGAGTTAGTGTTTACGCGTTCTGGTCTTTTGTCTGTAGCCCTGAGTTCTAGTGTGTCTCGTGGCTACCAGCTCGTGCATATTGGGGTTGTATTTGTTTTGTATGTTTCGTGTCCTTCCCCTCTGCTGGTGATGGTGAAACCTTCTGCGGTAAGTCTGTGTCTCCTCTATTGCGTGTTTCCATGGTTATGTCTATGTTGTGTTGCTTTATTCTGGAGCTCTGTGTGTCTGCCTCTATTGTTGCGTCTTTGCATATATACTTTTGTGTGGCAATTTTGTTTTCTGTGATGGCTACTAAACCTACAAAACAAACATACCAACTTCTAAAATTGTTTTACATTGAAATGTTATTTTAGTCTAGTCCTTTTATTTAGTGACCTGTAACTTTCAAATCAAGCTGAAATATTATACATAGTATGTACTTTATAAATCAAGACACATAAATCAATTTATTTTGAATTACTTTTTCTAAGCTGGACATATTATGCACATGCCATTATTGCCAAAACTGTGAAAAAAGTTTTTGGGGGTTTTCCCCCATTTGTTGGCATTTGTTTTAAAATTAATGAGAATTTATCTATGTATATGTGACCTCAAATTAATGCCCCTTTTGCCCTCTAAAAAACGGTATATAATATGTGTTGGTGCAATAAATGACAGAGATGCAAATTGCGTTTGAACACAAACAGCAAAAATTGCAAAAATGGCTTATGTCCTTAAGGGTAATTCCAGTTTTTGAAGCTGTGTCCTTAATGCTGAATAACATTTGCACTATAATGCACCTTAAATAGAAACCTATCTTTAGAGTTTTCTTTTAAAAGCAAAGAAAAAAAATCAGGAAAAAGGGATTTTTTTAAATTTAAAAAAATAAACTTTCAGCTATGTAACTATGTAAAAGTAATAATAAAATAAATATATATATATCACCTCCCCTCCCCCCCTCAAAATTATTACTTTAGGGTGAAAAGGTAAATCAACTTATTCACCCTGCTGTCTGGCTTGTACAGTGATGGCGAACCTGTCGGCATGCGGCCATAGGTTCGCCATCAATGCAGAGTAGGCACCTGCCTGCCCGAAACGGCAGGCGCCTCCTCTGCTTCCGTGTTGGGAGGCAGGGGGAGGGATCTGTGAAGCAGCTATCCTGACCTCCCGCGAGCAAGCTGTGTGGAGCGTTGCGTGTTACCATGGCAGCGCTCCACCCAGCATCGCGCGGGAGGACAGGGGAGCTGCTCTCTACAGAACTTACCACCACCGGACCACATTAAAGGTAAGGAGGGGGGATACTGATGTTGCATACTTTTTTTAAACAACATCTTTACCCACCCACACACAGTACCCCTACTCCCCACACACCCACAGCACCCCTACCAGAGGACTGTGTTCAGCGTCCTGTGTGTGTGTATTCAGCAGTTCAGTTCTTTTAAAACAAGTGTTAATTAGTTTGGACAACTGTACGAGTTGTTTTTTCTAAACTTAAACCTCAGTATTCAGGTTTAATTGCCGTGTTGGCACTTTGAGGGGAAAAAAAGTTGGCATGTATTGCTGTTTGGGCACTCGGGCTCAAAAAGGTTTGCCATCACTGGCCTAGTACATGTCCAGGGCGTTGGGTGGTATAAATTCCTTACTCTTGTATTCTTTTTGTATTGATGAAGGTTTCTGAAACTTTTGACTCGTGGAAATAACACTAATGTTATGTTTCATTCTTTTGTTGTTTATAATACTGCAGATAAAAACTTTAAATGTCTTTGGAGTGACCAACGATATTTGTGCAAATAAATAGAGGAACATTGCTATTTGCAACTCTGTAGGTATGTTCCAACCAAAAAAACTGTAGTTTTTGGGGGTTTTTTGCTAGAGAAATTTTGCCTATCTTGTCATTCCTCACACCCAAAATGGAAAAAAATAGCTTAACTCATCCCAAGGCCAAGTTCTCTCTGCACACCAATCTTTCTCCATTGGTATTACTCTCCCTTTCCAGAGAGGTACTGATGTTGTGGAGACCACAGGCAGCATGGAGATCGGGGTCGTACCTCCATTGGCTGTCTGTTCTCAGCGTATTGTACATGGTGATGATAGTTGCAAGAAATGTACAGAATTCTTATTAGCCAGTCTAGCAGAACTGTTATTCCGGGATGGCTTATGATGCCCCAATGACACTGTAAATTTGAAACCTGTGCTGGTTAATTGTTGTTGTAAAGGTGAGGTGAGAGGAATGCTTAGGGGGTCAGGTTAAACTTGTATTTTTGTTGTTTTCACTTATGTATCCAAAATGCAGGCTTGATTCTCACTTGGATTTTTTTCTCTTTGTTTATTGCGGCTTTAGCATTAGTTATTGAAGGTCTAGAATGGATGCGGTATCTACAGAACTCAACAATGTCCTTCCTGATGAAATCATGGAATCTGAAATGTCCTTGGCAGATGATGATTGCATTGAAGCAATCACGATATCCTCTCCGATGGTCGATGATGTTCCAATGGAAACCGAAATGGATGAAATTGTGGAAATTAACAGTAGTGGGGAATGTGTAACTACATCTTTTCCTAAGGAGGGAATTACAACAACCAGCAACCACTCCAGTCATCTTGCGGTGGTGAGCGTTTCTTCCAAGCCTGACTCTGGACCATCTGCAGCAGCTATAAAAACAGTTTATCAGACTGGTGTGCACAAACGTGGTACACCAATCTCTGGACAAATGATTCTTAATAAGACTTCTGAGCTTACACCTAGCAGCCATTTGGTGAAGCATGAAGGGCAGAAGCTTATAGTGACAACTCTTGGGAAGCCCAGCCATCCTTTATTCTTGACACTTCCTCAAGGTACACAAAAGAATGCCACTCATATCCAGCATCTGGATTCTAAAGGCAATCCGCAGCAGATCAAATTGGTCACTATTGGTGGAACTAGACCTGAAGTGAAACCAGTCATTGGTGGTATGTCTTTAAGCTCTGCCCATCTCATCGGTTCCTCTGTCAAGTCCGCTGGATTTGTGGGGCCTGCATCACAGACTTTGCAGGTAATAATATGCATGGTGGTTTTATTTGTTTAATTAGTTTTTATTTCTGTTTTGAATGATGTGTGTGTTTGACAAGGGCCAGAAATTATGGGGTGATAAAGTATTTGTGCAACAACATTTTGTATATAATAAAGACTTATTTGCCCAATGTGTCCTTCATAGAGACATTTAAAAAAAAAATGCAGCTGCAAATTTGCTTACAACAGGAGGAAATAGGAAATCATGTTCTCATGATACTTAAATTTTTGTATTTTTTTTTTTTAATTTTTTTATTTTTTTTCAACTAAAATTTAATACAGTGGATTTTACATTTTCTTGTGAGTGGTGCATTGACTGAATCCCACCACACATACTGAAGTTTAAGTAAAAAGAATAAAGAAAAAAAGTTAAAATGTTTTGTAGGTGATGCATTGAATCAGTGCACCTCTACGAGGAAAGTTTATGTTCTCTATGCGGAGGGTTGAGACACTGAATGTCAGTCAAACTGTGCAGCACTGCCCCAGGAAGCACCTCTAGCAGCCTTATGAGAAGTGGCCAGTTGAAGTATCTCTAGACTGTAATGTAAACACTGCATTGTCTCTGAAAAGACCATGTTTACTGCAAAAAGCCTTAAGAGAATGATTATACTAACCAGAACAAATACAGTTTACTGTAGTTGTTCTTGTGACTAGTGTCCCTTTACCTCTGTATGTGCAGTTTTTCATATTGAAAAATTTAGAACTTTACTGGTCCGGTCATGCTTTGTGGAAACATCAAAGGCAGAATATTCTTGAAATTTTGAGCCCTACTAGTAAAAAATGTAAGTCCTTGAGACTGCATGACCTTCCATTGACAATCTTGTGCATTAGGACAGTGGTTCTCAACAGTTTTACACCAAAGGACGACATTCCCACAAGTACACATTTAACAACTTAGTGACTAAATTAATATCTATAAATGTTGACCAATGAAGGAATAGGCCTATATGCAATAATGCAAGCTGTTATTCACTGCAACATAACAAGGAAACTGTATGGATGTAGAAGTATTTATTGGTCATTATATTACAAATATATTCATTGTGAGCCTTGGATGACCATTCTTAATAATCATCATCATGGTTGGGAATTAAATTAAAGCTGAAACATTTTACATTATTGGCTCCACAGTCGTGGACCATCTGAAAACCTATCGTGGACCACAGTTTGGGAAACTGTGCAATTAAGTACCATAGACCACGGCTTGACAAATCCTAGGCGTCAGGACAAAATTCCTAGTTGCATGCTGACCTGGCGTGTTTGTCACTCCGTTCAGCACTGGCCTCCTTAGGTCCCCGAGGTGGATAGCTGCGTGTAATGGTGGTGGGAGCGGCGAAAAAGCTGTGATCTTCTTGCTCTGCTCCCTACGTCATGCTGGAAAGCAGGATATGATGTCACCCCAGCATCACAAAATGGCGCGCGAGGGAGCGGAGCAAGAAGAGCTTGCAGATTACAAGCACATAGAATAAAATGTTTTAAAAAGGTAAGTATGATAAAATTCCTAAGCACTTCTTCTGCTGAAGAATCAGCCACACTTCTAAACCTGCAATAACATATCTGCTTGTGAATAGGAAAGGGAAAAGGTAATCATGCTGACCTACATAGTTCTAGATGTGCCAAAATTGTAGATTTCTCTTATTAACCCTTAAGAAAAAATGTAATCAGATGCAACATCAAATATAAATTATTTGTGTGTAAGACTTTTTGTAATTGCCTCATTTATTGTAAAATTTCCCCCTGTTTAGTATTGTAAAGCGCTGCAGCATATGTTGGCACTATATAAATGATGATGATTATTGACTGGTCTGGCAAATTGCTGCACACTTTCATGTGTGTAATTTTTTTTTACGTTTGTTTTTGTAGTGCAAGTGTAGGTAGGGTAAAGGGTGAAACACTGTGTGGATACATTTCCAAATATTCAGCAAATGAAAGATGAAAGTTCGACACACAATCTTCACTGCTTTGTTAGTTCAGCTCTTTTTTTGGTCCAGTTATCTGGCTTTTTGACATGGCTGTTCATGCCATCAGCACTTCACTCTGTACAGAAATGCACAGTCTTCAAGAGGGTGCACATATTTATTTTTTGTCCCCCTTTATAATTACTGTTATGGCCTTTTTATAGATAGATATATATTTAGTTAATACAATGTTAAACAAAAACATCTTGTAGTTTTTTTTTTTTTTTTAAGATTATTTAGAAGTTACTGATTTCACTTACACTTCATGCACTATTCATCTACCAATCAATGCTAGGAGATATCAGTGCTCTGTTAATGATGTGTGCATGCGGATTACAGCACATTTGTTAAGTCTGTTGGGGCTTGCTTTCGTGAGTGACAGTTGGGAGTCTGTCAGTTCATTACAATGTTCAGTCAAAAGTAGGTAAGGGCTGAGTTTGAGAGGAATTAACAGTACTTTCCTAGCTGTCTTCTGCATGTGGGATGGCTAAATGAATCTTCCCAGCCAGTCTGTTTGCTCAATGGTTAAAAGGGACAGTCTGCATCTAAAGCCTGAACCTCTTGTGGTTACTGTCAGATGTTCACTAGATTAAAAATGTTTTTTTGTTGTTGTTGGTTTTTTTTATGTGGCCACGATAATATTGAGGATAGTAGATACTGCAGTGCCTTCAAATATAATTAGATAAATATTCCTACCGTGCTGCTGTCAACCCAGACCACAGAAAAAAATCAGGACAGTGCTGCAAAGATGTAAAAAAATTTCCGAATACTACAAATGATTATTGATTGAACTCATGGATGTGGTTTGCAGTGAATGGATGTTAAGCTGCTTTGCACTAAATATTCCATCATGTGCCGGTAGTTATTGTTTGACTTCACACATTACATTTAATAAATGCCAGGAATAAGATGAAAGGTTCTAAAATCAATTGCTTACCATGGAAATAGTCACTATTGTATAAGAAAATGAGGGTAATTTCTTATATTAGAGAATTTTATTAGGAGCAATTGCCCAATGTAGTAGTTTAACAAATTTTATTCTGAGCGCAGCCACTCACTATTTACAAATATAATTTTTCAATCTTTATACAATGTTGCAAGTAACCAGTGCACAGCAGCAATTTGAACCACTTTCAAAGATCACAGGCTTGCCAAAACATTACTTTATAACTCCTTTATGTGCCCTTTAGAGTTAAAAGGACACTATAGTCACCAAAACAAGACTTTCTTCATTGGCAAAATCCTCAATTCCAGTTATAATTTTTTTTTTTTAGTCCGTCTACTTTTTTTCGGTTCCTCAATATCGTTCAGGAGTCTTAAACTGCACTGCATATTAGAGGAACACTCTAAGCCCCATAACTAATTTTGAGGTCTTACAATGGGGGAGTGCCATAGCACTCCTTTCACCACAACCACTATAGTGCACTGAGTGATGTTATTAATTGTTGTCTATAACTTACTCTTAAGTTCTTTATATTTAAATCCGCCCCACTTCGGCTATAATGTAAGTGTGTGTTTGTCATGCAAAAATTCATAATATTGCTTTTATTATTTATAAAGCGCCAACAAATTCCAAACCAATATACAATGGGTGGACTAACATACACATACTTGTAACAAGACAAGTTGGTCACACAGGAACAGAGGGGTTGAGGGCCCGCCTCAATGACTTTACATGCTAGAGGGAGTGGAGTATAGTGACACAAAGGATAGGGTAGGAAAGTAGGTTGTTAGAAAATTATTCACTGCGGTCTTAGTGGGTTTTTTTGTGTGTGTTGACAGTTGCAGGAGAGGAATCTGGATGCGGGAAGGGAAAGCTGTTAACAGTTTAAGAAGTGAGTTTTAAATGATTTTTTTTTATGAAATGGAGACTGGCTGAAAGTCTAATGGAGAAGGGGAGGGAGTTCCACAGGAACAGTGCAGCTTTAAAGCAGTTTTGAAGGCGAGAATCAGAATTTGGAGTACGGACAGGGGATAGACGTAGGTCTTCGGCAGAGCATAGGTGCCTAGACAGGACATACTTGTGTATTAGAGAGGATAGCTAGGTTGGCGTAGCATTAGGTAGAGACTTGTAAGCAAGTACCAGAATCTTAAATTGAGTCCTATATCTTATGGGAAGGCAATGTAGGGACTGACCGCATAGGAGGTGCGTGTGGACAGACTGTGACAGGGCAAGTTGGGAACACGTAAGACCAGTGAGAAGTGGATGGAGTAGTCAAGGTGAGAGAGGTCAAGGACCATCACCTTGAGCCTGGAGAAGTCATAAGTTGTATTTTCAGTCGAATTTTGGAAAACCAAACTTCTTGTGTTGAGCTATTTCAATTGCTTTTGTTTGATTTGTTTATTGCAAATAGCAGGAAGTCTGTAAATCTTGACAATGGAGGTTGAATAATTTTGATTACAACTGTACTTAGCAGTAAGTGTGGTGGAAATAGTGAAAACTGGTTAGAATGGGTTTCTGCATAGTTTTATGTGCTAATAGGAGGAACTCTCAGTTGATCATTTATTGTAGAATTCAATCATGCAATAGAAGTGCATATTTATTTTCTGTGTGAGAAGTGAACCAGTGTGAAGTGACTGAATCTGTTCGTGGGAGTATCTTTGAGTGTACATGTAGATTTGGGAACAATTTTAGCATTTTCAAATCTTAGGCTGAAATAGCTGGTTTGCAAATGTGGCTTTTTTAGCCTAATTATTTGCAATATGACGTTTAATTCATTACAGTTCATTGTTCTGTACGCCTCAATATCTTGTCTGAGGAGAGTCTGACTGTTACATATGAAAGGATAAAAATATGGAATAGTGGACCTGCTATGTTTAGGAAAAGTTGGATAATTTTCTTTGTGTAAACCTATATAATGCAACCCGCCAAGCACGAAAATCACTTCATCTTCAAGAATTATTCCAACCAAAAAACATTTTCATGAAACACCTCTATTTCAGTGCCAAGGCCAAGTTCTCCCTACAGCCCGATCTTCCTCTGTCGACGTCACCACCCTGCTCACCGGGGTGACTTTATGTCCTGGGCATCCAGCAATAGGAATTCCTCACCATTGATGCATGCATTCATACTTTATTTTGTCTGTTAAACTTGGCCCAACATGATGTTGGTTCAGCAAAATCGGGCTCTCCCCTTTCCTAAGTAATTGGACAACACTACACTTCAAAATCAATCCACTTAGATTTTGTAGTAAAGATATGCATTACTACTTGTGAAGAAAATACTTATTTTCTGCATTTTCTTCTGTTTATTCGTGACTTTCAGCTGTATTCGTTTATTTGGGATTTTATTGGTTCGGTAAATTAAACTACCAAACACCAACCACCCTCCAGGCTCATTACCTTCAAAGGGAACCATCTACTAAGCGCTCTCTGGGCGGCTGCCGTTCGTATATATGCGAATGCCACGTGGAAGAGAAAACGGCGGCCATTTTGTTTGCACGAAAGGAGGCAGCGGGACTTTGTCGTCGAGTGTCTAGAACTAAAATCAGACTCTCAACTTCCCGAACCACCGCTGAAACAAACGAACGCCTGCTTCCTTTTGTTGCCGAACAGCCAGGAGAGCGCCATTCGGTAGTTTGGTTCATACGAACACCGGGAACAATCGCTCCTATGAGCCAGGAGGCTCCATTCGTGCTTTTATTCGGTTTTATGCTGTTTTCCGAATTGACCGACCGCACACGCTGAATTCGCAGGAGCCTCATGTGCGGTCGGTGAACTAAGACTTCCATACTTTTTGAGAACCCCTGGACCAATCTGGGTGAAATTTGAATACCGTATTTTTCGCTCCATAAGACGCACCTCACCATAAGACGCACCTAGTTTTTAGAGGAGGAAACCCAGAAAAAAAAATATTCTGAACAAACTGTTCCATAGTGTTTCTTACCATGGGACAGTTTGTTCAGAATATTTTTTTTTCTCCCCTGTCCCATAATGATCTTTAACCCCCCTTTCCTCTGTCCCATAGTGATTGTGTCCCATAGTGTTAACCCCTCCTACCCTGTCCCATAGTGATTGTTAACCCCTCCTACCCTGTCCCATAGTGTTCTTTAACCCCTCCTCCCCTTGTCCATTAGTGTTCTGATCCCATAGTGTCCCCCCTCCCATTGTCCCATAGTGCACTTTCCCTCCCATAGTGTCCCCCCTGCCCTTGTCCCATAGTGTCCCCCCTGCCCTTGTCCCATAGTGTCTCCCCCTCCCCTTGTCCCATAGTGTCTCCCCTCCCTTTCTCCCATAGTGTCTCCCCTCCCCTTGTCCCATAGTGTCTCCCCCTCCCCTTGTCCCTGGTGTCACTCCCTTCTCCCATGGTGTCTCCCTCCCCTTCTCCCATGGTGTCTCCCCTCCTTCTCCCATGGTGTCTCCCCTCCTTGTCCCATTGTCCCCCCCTCCTTGTCCATGGTGTCTCCCCCTCCCCTTGTCCCATGGTGTCTCCTCCCCTTCCCTTGTCCCATGAGTGTCCCCTCCCCTTGTCCCATGGTGTCCCCTCCCCTTGTCCCATGGTGTCTCCTCCCTCCCCTTGTCCCACTTGGTGTCTCCCCTCCTCTCCCTTGTCCCATGGTGTCTCCTCCCCTCCCCTTGTCCATGGTGTCTCCTCCCCTCCCTTGTCCCATAGTGTCTCCTCCCCTCCCCTTGTCCCATAGTGTCTCCTCCCCTCCCCTTGTCCCATAGTGTCTCCTCCCCTCCCCTTGTCCCATAGTGTCTCCTCCCCTCCCCTTGTCCCATAATTACTTACCTGTCTTGGAGCATGGGCCGGCTTCACAGCACGCTCCGCGGTCCAGGAACTTCTATTTCAGGTTCCGGTTTCCGGCGGGACCGAAAGGAAGTGTGCACACTTCCTTTCAGTCCCACCGGAACCTGAAATAGAAGTTCCTGGAGCGCGGAGCGCGCTGTGAAGCCGGCCCACGCTCCAAGACAGGTAAGTAATTCTTCACATTCGCTCCATAAGACGCACAGACATTTCCCCTCACTTTTGAGGGGAAAAAAAGTGCGTCTTATGGAGCGAAAAATACGGTATGTTGGTCTCCCAGATCGGGGCTATCAGGGGCACATTTGTGGGAAAAACTTGTGTGTGAAGGGGTGTTCTAAGTTTTGGGGAAATTGTGTGTCCTTTGCCTGGAGATAATTGGTTTATTCCTTAACTTATCTCAGAATCTCTCAGGCAGAGGAAGGGAGGGTTTTACTGTAAAACTGTATTATGATTGGTTGTTCCTTTTGTTTACCGTGGGAGGTCCTCTTGCAGGAGGATTTCCAAAAAAGCCAGTGTGGCGTCAATAAAGCTCATTCCTGTTGTACCCTTCATGAAGTCTAGGTTCATGCTTGGGGAATATTTTACTTGCTGGGGAGAATCGTCTTGGAAGCTGCATTCCTCTACACTATTCCTCTACACCCTACCTGCAGTTCTAATCACTTATGCTCCGCTATTGGGAAAGGAATAGAAGACCTCAGTACCATAACAACTGAAGGTCTTAACACTACTACATCCAGTTTTTAATGATTTGGGATTTCTGTGCTTCTCCCTTCAGTCTTTAAGTCACTCGGTCTCCAAGTCACATAGTCATTGTAGTGATCTGGTTTCACTGTCCCCTTAACCTTGCAGCTGCAAAAATTGAGAAACTGCAACGTTTACATTGCAGGGTTAAAGCGGCACTGTCATGCCGAACTTACCTTTCCTCAATCTCTTCCTCTTCTACCCCTCTCTCAGGATCTGTTATTCTTTTCTTCCTATCTTCTTTAGTTTTCTTTAAAATCATAAGACAAAGTAGGGACTCTTTGCCTTATGGAGGATTCCTCCGCTTGACCAGCTCTGACCAGCGGAGGAGCAAAGTGTGCTTCATTTCCGCTGGTCAGAGCAATTTTCCCATGATCCTTACCTTTCCTATGTGTTCCCGCGATGCTTCCTGTCACTTTACACTAAACTGCCGAATTTCGTTCTAACTGAATGAGAACAGTATGTTCGTTTCTTTTAGAACGCAATTCGGCATTTTATTCGGATCGGAATTTCATTCTAATGAATGAAACTCCGATCCTACTCATTGCCGCGGCTGCATCTTGCAGCCGCTTAGTAGATAACTCCCTAATTCCCACGGTATCAGGGAGTTATCTACTAAAAGGCTGAAAGACCTAAATTGGTCTTTCAGCCAACTTTACTAATACCAAGTAAAGATTACTTAGTATTAGTAAATTAAATGCCCCTACTCGCTATACCGCGAGTAGGGGCATGTGTAGTAAGCAGTGAGCAGCTTATAGCTGCTCACTGTAAAAAAAAACAAAAAACTAATAACCCCCCCCCCCATGCCTGTGGGGGCCCTAAATAAAGATGGGGGGGACCTACTGGCCCCCCCTGGCCCCCACCCCTGAGCGGTGGGTGGGGGCCCTAAATAAAGATATGGGGGGGGACTTCTGGCCCCCCCCCTGGCCCCCACCCCTGCGCGGTGGGTGGGGGCCCTAATAAAACAATAAGGGGGGGGACCTACTGTCCTCCCCCCCTGGCCCCCACCCCTGAGCGGTGGGTGGGGGCCCAATAAAACAATAAGGGGGGGGGACCTACTGTCCTCCCCCCCTGGCCCCCACCCCTGAGCGGTGGGTGGGGGCCCTAAATGAAACACCCCCCCCAATCAAGGTGACTAGGGGTCCCAAGCCCCTAGTCACCAACCCCCCACCCAAAAAAACCTATCCCCTACCTACCCCCCTCACCCTACAAATAGTGAGGGGGGAATAAAATAACTAACCTGTAAAAAAAAAAAATTAAACTTACCATTTGACGTCTTCTTTTTTCTAAAATCTTCTTTCTTCAGCCCCCAAAAAGGCCAAATAAAAATCCATTATACCCGTCGCACTTTAAAAAAAAAAAAAATAGGTCCGCCCCCCCCTTATTGTAATTTGTCTTTTTTTTCTCTCACTGTTTAGTAGACATGCCCCTACTTTAATCTCCTTTATGCTATTATGGGGGTCATATTGACCCCCATAGAGTGAGAGGGGGACCTGGGGGGCTTATGAAGTGGTGGGGAGCACTGCTCCCTGACGCTTCTATCTTTACATATTACAAGGAGGGAGCTGCGTGCCGGTAGCTCCCTCCTTTTAATAAACTGAACGAAGAAAATAACACTGATACATAGTGTTGGTTTGTTCGGCTGATCTTTCTATTCACTCATTCGTCTGTCTAATGAATGAATAGATGAAATTCCCGTTCGCATGTCCAGGTGTTTCACTGGGCATGTGCGGGAATCTCACAGTCTGTCTAGTGTGGGCTGATGACGTGTCCCACCGGGACTTCATCTACCCACACAAAGATGGCGGCGCCCTGAATCAAGATCGGGGCAGAAAATAAGGATTAAAAAATAGGTAATGTGGGGGGCTTAGGGGCATTTGAGGGTGACTAGTGGGTCAATTGGATGTAGTGGAGGCGGGAGGGGGGGTTAAAAAAACAAACAAAAACAGGATTTGGCATTACAGTGCCGCTTTAAAGGACCACTCTAGGCACCCAGACCACTTCAGCTTAATGAAGTGGTCTGGGTGCCAGGTCCTTCTAGGGTTAACCCATTTTTTTCATAATTATAGCAGTTTCAGAGAAACTGCTATAATTATGAATGAGTTAAGCCTTCCCCCTAATCCTCTAGTGGCTGTCTCATTGACGGCCACTAGAGGCGCATGCGTGCTTCTCACTGTGATTTTCATAGTGAGAGCACGCCAGTGTCTATAGGAAAGCATTGTAAATGCTTTCCTATGTGACCGGCTGAATGCGCTTGCCGCGCGTGCGCATTCAGCCGGCGGGGCGGATCGGAGGCAGAGAGCTCTCTGCCCAGCGCTGGAAAAAGGTAAGTTTTAACCCCTTTCCAGAGCCGGGCGGGAGGGGGACCCTGAGGGTGGGGGCACCCTCAGGGCACTATAGTGCCAGGAAAACGAGTATGTTTTCCTGGCACTATAGTAGTCCTTTAAGACTGCACATCTTATTCAGGCCTAATAGTTTTGTATTCCTAACACTACAGTGTTACTTTAAATTATGATCTGCAATACCAATAAACTGATGACACCTGGCAATAATTGCTATAGTAGTTCATCGTGTAAATTAGGTCACAGTTTTAGTGTTTGCTTTTAAATGTACAGTCTCCATTATCAGTCTAATCCTTGTGCTAAATCAAAATAGATGGACTGTTATAAAGTTTTTTTCATTCTGTAAAAGCCGTTGCACACTTTCTTTCTGTCGCTGTGACGAAACAATCAGAAAATTAATTTGCTTTTTTTTGCATGTTTTATGACTTATGTATATTTTGCAAGTCTGTACATATTTGATGCTTGATTATCCTTGAATTATTAGACTGTGCTCATTCCGGAGGGCAAGCAATCTATAACATGTCTGACTTTAGAAATCCTCTGAGCTACAGCTCACAGAACTCATTGCTGCTGGTGCCTAATTTTTATTTCTGACTCTTATTACAATATATATTTTAGTCGGTGATGAGCAACAAAGAAGTTTCTGTAGACCTGCAAGTGTCACATTCTCTCCTGTTTGATTTCTACAGATCGCCAAGAAGAATCCTGCTTCCTCCTCTGGAGCAGTCATTACCAAGCTGATCATTGCAAAGCCGCTGACTAGCAAACCTATCACTACAGGACAGACTACCCAAGTGTCATCAATATTTTCAGGTGCTTCATAATATGCTTTTTATTTGATATGGATAGAGAATTTATTAGATCTCTAGAAAAATATTTGATTCAATCATTCACTTACTATATAGAAGGTAAATAGTAAGTGTGATAGACTGTGTGGTGTTTTTAAAAAATTAAAAAAAAATTTTTTTTAATTTTTCTATGCAATAAAATAAGTTAAGGGGTTGTGATTGTAAAATTAGTAGTGCAGAGACTACCCTCCACCAACTCTCAGCTTTGATAGTGACTCAGAACTGCAGTGATTTGTAATTCACTATGCGTGCGTGGTAGTATGGCAGATATCCGTTTCCAGAGCAGTTCCACGTATCTTATGTGGTGAGTGGAACTGATCCTGCTCTGTTAGACAGAGTCTTATGGGTAAGATAAAACCCAGAGGCCAGAATGAAACTTAGCTCATTAGTGAATTGAATTATATATCCCTTTTTTTCTACCGTAGTTTTTATGGACTACATTTTCAGTTCTGCTCAAGCAGAAGTTGATGAGTGAAATGCCTAATGCCAGAGCATAATGAGAATTATGAAGGAAAAAAAAGACTATTAGAACTAAACTGTCTAGTGTGCACTTCATGTATAATGATGCTCAGTAGGTCAGGAAGCATTGTGAAAAATAAAAGACCACAAATATCACTGACTGCAATTGTTCATTCCAAGCTGGTATGTAGTTGGGGCTCGAGACACAGCTATGCCCATGTCCACTTCCTCCTCCTATGTGTGATGAACCTCTGTGCAGTAAGCGGGTATAAAACTCCATAGCTAGATTATAAGTTTGTTTGACAAGTTTCACAGTTGATGTCCTAGTTTTGTAGTCACATAGTAAAAATGTAGGCTAGAAAAATGTTTTAACCCCTTAAGGACAAATGACATGTGTGACATGTCATGATTCCATTTTATTCCAGAAGTTTGGTCCTTAAGGGGTTAAAGAAACCCTATAATGTTGGAAATACAAATAGGTTACTGTCCCCCTCTTATAAGTAGTAAAAGAGATATTTTACTTGCCTTTTTTCACTCGCAGCGCTTGTTTGTGTTGCTGACGTGCCTCCTTGGCTGAGACCTTTGAGAATGATGATCTTCACCAATCCAGTGCTTTCTCATAGTAAAGCATTGGGAGACTAGTGTGCATGTGCAGAAAACTCTGCTCAATGCCAATCCGATCAGTCTCTATGAATTTTCTCTCTGCTATTTCGTGGGAAATTTTTCTAGTGACAGCCACTAAAGACAATTTAAACTCTGCAATGAAAATGTTTTCACTTGCAAAGATAAAATGGGGCAGCCCATGGCACCCAGTCCATTTCTTTGAGATGAAGTGGTCTGGGTGCCGATAATAGTATCCTTTTTAATTAGTTCAGCTTTTCTCACATCTCTGTATTTATTTGTGCATTTCTTTGTATCAACCGTAGAATAATTTTGAAGCAAAATCCATTTTTTTCAAGAAAATTGGGGGGTGGTGATTCCTTGACTCTAAAATTTGGGTTATTCTTGGATCAAAAACTTAAAATTGCAAGTCCTATGCTACTAGCCAGGCCTTAAAAGTTACCCGCTACAGCAAGTCTGAAGGGTGCATGGCCTCACCAGGGTTGAATTGTCACTTGGCAATGGCAAGTGGAAATGTTGAGCCCTTCTGTCAACATTGTTTTGTGTGCTAATTACTTGCTATTATATATCCTCACAATATAACTGTGGAATATGCTCGCGTTATGCAGATGGAAAGAACAGATTATTGCTTAACTTCTTTGATCCTTAAAGGAAAACTCTACACTCTAAAAATAAAAAATCATTGTACAATAGATATACCCCCAGTGAATAAATGCATGTATTCATTGGAGGTATGTGTTAAAATGGCTTGCAAAACTAGCAGATCTTATGAACACCAGCCTTTCCGAGCCCTGCATTTTTTACCCAGAAGAGACTTTCTCAGAAGGTTTCCCTTGGTACGTGCATGTGCACTTAAAGCATTCTGATTGGACATGTGCAGGAGAAGAAGCAGGCATGCTCAAGTCAAGCTTGCCTGACACTACCGTTCACTCTGGGGAGATAACGGAAAAAGGAAGAAACTTCCCAGTCATGGGCGTCCGGAGGGAGGGTCAAGGGGGGGCAATGGCACCCCATGGAAATTTAAATTTGCCCTTTTCCACAGGTACCCATGCAGGATAACCTGAAGTGGGTACTTTGTTAAATAATAAATAAAAAAAAGCTACACTTACAGTTTGTGCTCAGCCATACTCCACATGAAGCAGCCAAGTGTTCGTTCCCGAGAGTGGGCTTCAATAGATAGCAGGGATAGACTGTTATCACTGCTCCCTCCTACCTGCAGGTGGCACCAAACTGAGCTGTATGGTAGGACTACCAGTCCCAAGCCACACTACCCCAGAGCAGGTAAGGAGAGAATTACTATACAATTGGGAATGAATAGACAGGGAGAATATATGGAGAAAGGGACAGAATGAGTGGTGGGAGAGGGGGGAATATGAAGAAATATGAAGGTGGGTGTAGGGAGTTATTAGAAAATGGACACATGGAGAATATGAAGAAAGGTTAAGGTGTGTATGGAGGGGATATGAGTGAAGGGGGCACAAGTTGGGTGGGGGGGATATGAAGAAAGTTGAAGGTGTGTGTGTGGAAGGGATATTAAGAAGGGGCAGAAGTTGGGGGGAAACAAAAGTTCTGTTTTTTTTTTGTTTTTTTTTATTAGTAGTAGTAGTAGTAGTGGCATTTATAAGGCGCGGGAAGTGTTGTGATTGCAGTCTGGTACTGTTGGTACTTTTTGGTGCGGTGAGTTCTGTAGTAACCGCTGTGTATGCTACCTTCTGATGTGGCAATGGCTTTGTGTGCAGTCTGGGACTGTGGCAAGTGAAATCTGGTACTGTGGGTGCAATCCCGTGCTGTGCATGTCACCTATTGCTGTGGCCAAATGTAACGCGAAATGTAGATTACACTTTTTATTTTTTATTCAGTGTTAGTGCCTTGATCATGGGTGTACTAATGGGGTGCATTGAGTAGTGTTAATATTAAAACAGATTAGACATTGCAATACTTAAATCAGACAATGTCAACTTGATTCTTTTAATAAGATTTTGCATCAGGTTTCTTAACTCTTCGCCTGCTGCCGCTTCATGTGATAATGACTAATCCCCTCCCCTTAATGACACTGTCAAAATGGGGCCGAGCATGGAGAAAATATTCCTGCGGACGCCCATGTTCCCAGGCTGTATAATTGGATTTTTAATTATTTATAAAAGTGCTGATTTTTCATAGAAATTGGTGCTTTTACAAATTGTCATTATTATGAGGCACTCCTCACACATAAAGCTCTTCAGCTGGAGTGGTCCTTTTAAGGTGTTAAACATGCCATATTGGGAAAGGATTACATTTGCCTTTTTAATTAACAGTTTGTGCTAAGTAAGTGGCGATGTTACTAAATTACAGCCTAATTGTACCTGTGCTTCCCTACATGGTAATGTTAGAGTGCTATTCAGTCTGACTGAAGGGTTTCCTGAAGCCATGATGTGTTCTACAAAGGTGGATTTTGATTTGGATAGGCTTTGTTAATTACTTGTACAGAAATTCTCCATCCAGATCTATGTCCTTATGGCACCTGAAATGCCTCTAATTACAAGGCATATAGAGTGCAGCTTAGTATGTTGAAATATTAATATAATTTCTTTCCCCTAATGATTTATATTCTGTATAGTTCAGCTTATACATTTTACAAGTTAAAGCACTATTTCTGTATTAATTGGGTAAATATACACCTGATCACAGCTCTGTAAATTATGGGGCTCCTTGCTGCTCACCGTTTAGTAAAGGGAGGGCATAAGGGGGGGTTTACAACTTGCTTTTACTAATATGGAAGTCCTATTTACACCTGTAAGCTTCATTAATTTATTATTATTTCACTTTTTTTAATGCGATGCTAGCAAGCTTTGGCCAGCCGCCACATGGTTAACCCTTGCACTGCAAGTTGTTTTTTTATGTTTTTGTTTCGTTGTAATAAACTACTATGCTACTAGCATGCAAATAGTACTTCAAATCATCATTTGCTTGTCTAAAAGCATGTAAATGGTAATTTGCAACTGTGCATCCTGCTAGATGCATATGGTCCTTGTTGTGTTTTCAAATCGGTGCTTTGATTGATTTGTGTTTTTGTTCAAGAAACACATTGGAAAGACTGGGAAGAAAAAAAATTTGGAACTATTCTAGATTCCCACACTAGTGATGTTGCGAACCGTTCGCGAACTTCCCGCGAGTGGTTCGCCGCGAGCTCCAGTCAGCTGACACATCCCGGCCAATCTCCAGCAGACCCTCCCACCTCCTGGACAGCATCCATGTTGAAGGCAGCTTCAACATGGATGCTGTCCTGGAGGTGGGAGGGTCTGGGAGGGAGGGTCTGCTGGTGATTGGCCAGGATGTGTCAGCTGACCGGAGCTCGCCCGCGGCGAGCCGTTCGCAGGAAGTTCGCGACATCACTATCCCACACATTATGAATTCTAGTATGTTAGATCCCTGGCCGGATGGTTTTACAGCGTATTTTTATGAATCCTTTGAGACCGTGATAACTCCTATATTATTAAAAACATTCCTTGATATAACCACTTCTAAAAGCTTTTCCTCTGAAATGCTAAAAGCTACGATCTCCCCAATTTTAAAACCTGGGAAAGACCAACACTATATATCTAATTACCGTCCGATCTCTTATTAATTTGGATATAAAAATCTTTTGAAAAATCTTAGCGGATAGATTGACTCAGATAATCTCTGAGTTAATTCATTTAGATCAATCAGGATTCATAAGAGGAAGATTAGCCAGTGATAACCGTCGTAAGATTATGAATATGATGATAAAAGTTAGTTTAAACTAACAGGCATTGACAACCTACATTTTTGAAGAACAGACTCTGTAGGTTACCCTCCACGCGCCTCGCGCAACTGACCTCCCCTGTACATAGGACCGGAGTTCGACGAGACTTCCTGACACTACAGTCTCCTGGACGCCACCAACCGGTTAAGGTTCAAACGTTGCATTGACCCTCCCCCCACCCCCCTGAAACTACTCACCCCCACATAGAACCCATCCCTTCGACCGACTAAACCACGAGGGCCAAGATGGGGTTCAGCCCAGCCCTACTCACATATTGGTCCAACAACACTAGGGGCCTTAACCAGCCAGAGAAGCGCTCTCACCTACTCCGCCGTCTCTGGGCGGAGAGAGTGTCCGTAGCGTTCCTGCAGGAGACGCACTTTCGGGGCCCAGACGCACCTAAATTAGAAAACAAACGCTTCAGTCTGGCTTACTACGCCAACCACCCGGATGCCAAGAGAGCAGGTGTAGCGATACTCTTTGCACACACTGTACCCTTCAAACATATTGCATCCCACACAGACCCTGGAGGGAGATATCTATTTGTCAAGGGCACGATAGCCGACCACACATACACATTCGCTAGCATATACTGCCCCAACCGCGGCCAACACACCTTTCTCTCCCGCACCCTAACCAAACTGAACAAATTTAGAGAGGGTCTCCTGATGGTAGCAGGGGACCTGAATATGCCACTAGACCCACACCTGGATACATCCCACGGAACTAGCACAATATCACCACACTGCGTACGGTCTGCCACCAAGGCACTGAACAGACTGGGCCTTGTAGATTGTTGGAGGACCGCACACCCAGATGACAGGGATTACACACACTTTTCCCATGTCCACCACCGCTACAGCCGCATTGACTACATATTCATGCCCCAAGAATACCTTCCCCTACTACATGACGCACATATTGGCCTCATGACCCACTCCGACCATGCTCCGGTTAAAGTTCGCACAGGCTCACCCCTCTATAAACCGAGGAACAGACAGTGGAAGCTCAATGAAACTTTGCTGAACGACCCGGTTTCCCGCGCATCCGCACTTCAGACGATCACACAATATTTTGACACAAATGACGACCCGGACACACCCCCCCTGACGATCTGGGAAGCACATAAATGTGTACTGAGAGGCCACTACATTGCCGTCTGCACTCAGCGCAAAAAAGACAGACTCAAGCGCATCAATACCCTCACATCCAAGGTAACCACCTTGGAAGCCACACACAAACAAACACTAGACGACCACACTTACCTTCAACTGACCGAAGCTCGGAGAGAACTTGGGGACCACCTCTCTCAGGGGCTGTTACATACCCTGGCCAAATCGGCCAGGTACTTCTATGAACACTCCAACAAAAGCGGTCGCCTACTGGCAAAAATGCTCCAGGCACGACGGAGGGCGCAACATATTCACAAGATAAACACGCGAGATCAGGGTGGCACTAGACACCCAGAAGGCATTCTAGACGCATTTCAGGCCTATTACAAAGACCTATACAACCAGACACTGACCACGCACGGGACAGCACAACAGACACACCAACGGAGGATCTCAGACTACCTAGCCCAACACATAACCAAAACGCTCTCCCAGGAACAATCAGAGGACCTGGAGCAACCCCTAACGCTCGAGGAACTCAAGGGAGCCCTGAAAAGCATGAAACCCCACAGAGCACCCGGCCCAGACGGACTGCCACTCTCCTACCTCCGCACTTTCAGCGACATCCTACTGCCCAGGCTACTGGAAGGACTAAACTCGATCCGCGAGGGCGGACGATTCCCGACAGATACCCTAGCCGCCACAATCACAATAATCCCCAAAGAGGGTAAGGACCCGACTAATTGCTCGAGCTATCGCCCGATTTCGCTCCTAAATTCGGACCTTAAGCTCTTTGCCAAGGCCCTGGCCCGAAGGATCTCTCCGATCCTACCAGACCTTATCCACCCCGATCAAGTCGGGTTTATTCCGGGCAGGGAAGCCAGAGACGACACGATACGTGCACTCAACTTCATCCACATAGCGAAAACCAGGAAACGCGAGACTGTACTGCTCTCGACGGACACCGAAAAGGCGTTTGACCGAGTAGACTGGACATACCTCACATCCACCCTTCACCACCTACAATTCGGTCCCCAGCTATGCAACTGGGTGTCAGCACTGTATACGACGTCGCGGATCCGCATTAACGGAACCCTCACGCAAGCTTTCCCCATCAGCAATGGCACACGCCAAGGCTGCCCCCTGTCCCCCCTCCTGTTTGCCCTCTCTCTAGAACCATTTCTGGAGGCGGTCAGACAGGACGGGGGCATTACGGGGATGACACTGGACGCAGAGGTACACAAGGTGGCAGCGTACGCGGACGACATGCTGTTCTTCCTAGAACAACCCCTCATCTCCATCCCTAATCTCCTCCAGGCGTTCCGCGACTACCGCCAAGTCTCCAATTTGAAACTAAATCTAGACAAATCTGAAGCCCTGCCCTTACTAGACGACGCCGGGTTGGCCGAACGCCTGAACGCAAAGTTTGCCTTCGCGTGGCGAACGGTCAAGCTGAGGTACCTAGGCACTTGGCTGCCACGTGACCTCTCGCAACTTTATCAACTGAATTTCCCTCCCCTCCTCGCGAACATCCAAAAGGATCTCCTCAGATGGTCCCCGCAATACCTCACCTGGTTCGGCCGCATACAAGCGTTGAAGATGAACGTCCTCCCCAGACTCCTGTACCTATTCGCGACGCTGCCTACCACAATCCCACAATCATTCTTCCGCACCCTGACACGGGAAATTCGAAGCTTTGTATGGAACCGCTCGGTGTCCCGCATACGCAGGACCACACTGGAACGGCCAAAGGTTGCGGGGGCAGCTGGGCTCCCCTCCGTGCAGCGATACTACCAGGCCACACACCTGCAGAGGCTAGTTGACTGGCATGCACGCCCAAGCACCAAACGATGGGTGCTCATGGAGACCCAGCAGTCGCAGGGCGCAATCCCGGCCCGAATCTGGCTTGGATCGGCCACCCACGCGGAACTCCGAACACAAAACCCACTCATTGATGCCACCCTAGGAGTCTGGTGTAGGCTGCGCTTTTCCCACCAACTCACCACATCACCTAACCCACTCACCCCGATCGCTTACAACCCGAATCTTGCGGGGGGCCTCCCCCCCGCGGCCTTTCGGAACTTCCTCCAGACGGACTGGATCTACTTACACCAATGGATCATTGGCAGGACCCTCAAGCCATTGCCCGACGTCATCACTACCCAGCAACCGACCCCGCTTGATAGGTTCCGCTTCCACCAGGTTAAAACCTACTACACGACCCTACAGGGCAAAGACCACATCCACAGACAACTGACTGACTTCGACAGGAAACCTATAGAACATGCGATATCATACCTCTACACAAGCCTACAGTCACTGAGCAATGACAGCCCACTCGGGTTTACAGAAAAATGGGAACGTGAGACGGGCACACACTTGACTACCCAAGAATGGGAGAAAATCTTTCTATTGACACACAAATGCTCCATAAGCTCCAAATACCAAGAGATGAGCTATAAATTACTCACACAATGGTATAGGACCCCGGAGGTACTAAAACATATGCACGACACAGCCTCTGGGGAATGCTGGAGATGTAATTCCGCCCCTGGCTCCAATCTCCATATATGGTGGTCATGCCCCCGCATAGTCCCGTTCTGGAAACTGATACACACAAAGATTAAGGAAATCACAGACTCTGACCTCCCACTACAACCACTGCCAATGCTACTCCACCACACAGCCACTTCTACACAACAATACAAGAAATCCCTTACGATACACCTGCTCTCCGCCGCTAAAAGCCTCATTCCACTACATTGGAAAAGCCGCACAGTACCCACCTACACACAGTGGGTGGATAGGGTGGAGGAAATCCACAATATGGAAATGATGACTGCGTCCCTGCGGGAACGCTCGGACAAATGTGCCCTCCTCTGGTACCCCTGGACTACCTACACGGCACAGAGACGGACTTGACCCCCAAACTCGCTCCTCCAAGCGAATCCTGATATACCCACAGTTAATCCCACCCTGACTCCACTGTTAGACCCTAGACCTCCAACTCAGACTCCCTCCCTCCCCCCTTCCCCCCTTGGCAAAACAGTGCCAAGACCAGACATCACCAGAACCTCGAATGCCCATTAGACTGAGCACTCAAAAATCGATCACATACGTAGCTTTCGCCCTCCCCCCCAAGCAAGACGTCAACACACCAAAAATAATGGAGTATAACCGCAAGTCCCTGAATAACATAAAACCGCCTAAATTTCAAAGGGCACACCTGCGCAGCGCTCTATGCCCCCGACTGAGAAACTCCCTGGCGGACACGCCGCAAGTTAAAAATACACTGACCTAGGGAAACACGCTGAACGCAGCCCTATACCACCAACAGAAACGACACACTATAAAGGTTTATGTAAAGTATTGTAACCTGATAATTGTCAACCCCCTTCCCTCCCCCACCCCTTTCTCTTTTTTCTGTCTCCCATCCTGACTTGAAAAACTCAATAAATAAAGAATGTCAAAAAAAAAAAAAAAAAAAAAGTTAGTTTAAAAAAAAATAAAATAAATTCTCTTCCTGCAGTTTTTATAGCTGTCGATGGCGAAAAGGCATTTGATAGGGTAAATTGGAAATACTTGTCTGCTACACTTTCCGCATTTGGGATTGAGGGATCCTTTAAAGATCTAACAATGTCTTTATATTCTACTCCTATGGCAAAAATCTATGGCAACGGCCTAGATTCTGACTGGTTTACTATAAATAATGGAACTCGTCAGGGAAGCCCTTTGGCTCCCCTTCTTGATATTCTCTCTATTGAACCGCTGACAGCGTATACAAGACAAAATCACAATATCACTGGGGTGAAATTAGATAGTCAAGAACAAAAAATAACTGTTTCGCTGACGATATAATTATGACATTAACAAACCCTGAGTCTTCTATACTATCTGCACTACAGTGTATAGAAGAATATAGTAGATTCTCTAATTATTAAATCAATATGCAAAAAACACAAGTTTTACACCATAATATTTCAAGCTTATCTATAGGAAATTTAAATAATAATCATAAACTAAATATGTCTAATAATTTACGTTACCTGGGAATAAATACAAATTTTAAGATTGAAGAGTGGACCATTGATTACTACAATCTAATTTTCAAAGAATTTAACAACTAGCTCTCAAAATGGTCCAAACTACAAATATCTTGGCTGTGAAGAATACATATTATGAGAGCATACTTTCTCCCAAAATTGGAATATCTTTTTCGTACTATTCCTCTTGGAGTACCAAAAAAGATACTTCAACTATTCCATGGTTTATTCCTATCCTATATATGGGGCAATAAGAAACCCAGGATTGCGTTTGTAGTTATGACAGCTAGATTAAAAGAAGGAGGTTTATCTTTCCCGAACATATTTCATATTCATGATACGGTAATGTTTTCACACTATTTAGAATGGGGAAACAATAATTCAAAGTTGAAAACATGGTATATTTATGAAAAGAGACTGTGTGGTACCTTCGACCTGTTTAATCTGTTTTGGGTGGATAAAAAAGTTTCAAAAACCTGCATATGGATAATTTAATCATCTCTCATATTTACCAATCTATCAAACCGATAAAGAAATATTTTTTTTCTCCCAAAATCTAATTTCTGCAAATGGCCCTCTGGAAATTTTTGACTTTTTTTTTTTTTTTATTATTCAAGGCTAGTGATGTCCCGAACGGTTCGCTGAACGGTTCGCCGCGGACTCATCATTGAGTAAACTTTGACCCTGTACCTCACAGTCAGCAGACACATTCCAGCCAATCAACAGCAGACCCTCCCTCGCAGACCCTCCCACCTCCTGGACAGCTCACTAAGAATGCAGCTTCAAAATGGATGCGGTCCAGGAGGTGGGAGGGTCTGCTGCTGATTGGCTGGAATGTGTCTGCTGACTGTGAGGTACAGGGTCAAAGTTTACTCAATGATGAGTCCGTGGCGAACCGTTCACGACATCACTATTCAAGACCTTAATTTAGCTGAATGGTAAGCTAGAGATAGAATAAAAATTAAGGAACTATTCAGTACCTCTGGGATCAATAGTTTTTTGCATCTCCAAGATAAAATAGGACTACTGAATAAAGAATACTTTACTTATCAAAGAGTATGAGACTTTCTTCACAAGATACTTATAATTAGGGATTCACCCATGGATAAGATTCTTTTTGGACAGGCTAAAATTAAATCCTCAGTAGTTAGAAGATCCTTGGAAACATTAAATCAGGAAGTTAAACATACTACTATTTCGAAATGGGAAACTGGTTTAGACAAATTATTCTCCTGCCAGGAATGGTTAAATTCTTTTGATGCTTTAGGAAAAACGATACATTGCACAAATACACCGGAAACCTTTCTTAAACTCACACATAGATGGTACATGGTCCCTACAAAAACATGTAAATTTCAACCAAACTCCTCTGATGTTTGCTGGCGTTGTAATAATGAACGGGGTTCACTTAAACATGTTTGGGATTGTACTGGTTTAGATGCCCTTAAAAGAGGTTTCTAAACTTCTTGAGGATTTAAAATTGAATACTGTCTTATCACCAGAAATATTTTTATTCCATCTAGACCTGCCAAAAATGGATAAACCATCTCAATATTTGACTATTCACATATTAAACTATTTATAGCAAGATAGTGGAAACGGAATATACCTCCCTCTATAACGGAAATTAAAACCCAGATCCAATATCAAGGTCAAATGGAAAAGGCAGTTTATTTTAATGACAACAATATCGGCTCTTATAATAAGATATGGATAAAATGGTTTGCTTACTATAAAGAATGAGTTCTCCATATCTAGGTAAATGAGTGATCCTGGTTTGACTACCCATATATGGCAAATTACTAACAATTATCTCCAAAAATGGCTCCAATAAACTAATTTATTAAAGAAATAATGTTTACCGCCCACTTATCCTGTTCTAGATGGATGACCCTAAGCCCTTAGGCTGTCTTTTTATATTTTTATGTAGTATGTTTTATTTATGTATATTGTACCTTATAAATTTTGAAGACTTAAAACCCTTCGATAAGGAGCTCATCTCAAGAGCATATTTATTTAGATCTTAATGTTTAAAGAATATTAATTAGAATAATAAAATTCACTAAAAATTTCATATAATATTGAAATATATCAATGTTGTTGTATCTGAACTGAAAGATGAAATTGCACTTAAATATGTAATATTTGTTTAATGTTTGTTAAAATTTGTAAAATTACAATAAAAATTTATTGAAAAAACAAAAACAAATAGGTGCTTTGCCCACATCACGAATATATATATATATATATATATATATATATATATATATATATATATATATATATATATATATATATATATATATATATATATATATTTATTTTATTATTTTTTATTTATTTATTTATATAGTGTTTTGGGTGCAAGAATCACTGATTTGAAATTGGATACCAAATACATCTGGCCAATTTGTTGCAAATTTGGTCAGTGACTATATTCCGAATGCATTTAGCCTTCGTAGATGAGAATTAAGACTACGGTTGGAATTTTGCCATTTTCACTGGGTTCAAGTTTAGCGTAATGTTCTATATGCAAGATGTTTTCTATACCAGACTTCTAACTTGAGATCCCCCCCCCACGTTTGTGTTGTTACTTGATACATCCTTTAGTAAAGGGTTAGAATGTTTCAGAGCAAAAACAAGCGTGGTGAGCTCATTTGGCATCTTATTGAAGTCCACTATATTTTAGTTAGTTCTTGTGAGTTTCGCGGACTTGTACAAAACCATTTACTCCAACGTGCATTTTAACACTATGAATGCATTGATGTATACAGTCTTAAAGACCCAGTGAACGTTAATAAAAGAAAGAAAAGGTTGCTGATGTTCATAAAAGAAAAATGTATGTGTCAGTAGCTACTGGTTTTTATTTGTGTTTTTGTTTTGTTTTTTTTCTTTTCCTTCTTTTGTCTAATCACATACTGCATTGAAACCAAAAGCACTGATCATGACAGCATCAGCTGCGCATACAGATGTTTCTAGGGGCGTATTGTCAGAGAACATCTATATTTGGGAAATTTTATTGCTATCAGTAGAAATGTTTAGATACAAAAAGATTATTATTTTTTGGTGTGTGTGTGTGATGCTGATTATTACTATTCACTTTGGCATTCAAATTTGTATAACATATTTTATTTTTCAGGCAAAGTGCTTTCTCACACTAACCCTGGAACTCCAAACAGAGCAATAACAATAAGCGAGAGCACAGTCATCGGGACATCTTTGGCCTCCACAACACAAACATCCAACAAAATTGCTATATCCCCACTGAAATCTCCTCCTAGCAAGGTAAATGCTTATTGTGTGTTTTTAAACATGAAGCCATTGTATGTTAAAGGGTTTTATACGCTTTATGAGTTGGTGAGAGTAAATAAATGGTGATCATTTTGGGTATATAGAGAACCCTCTACTATAATGTAATTTGTATGGGATTTGGTGAACCAGAGCTTGTAAGACTTTATGCTCTAGAATTGAAAAAGGTGGACTAATGGAACATTTTAGTAAATAAAAATTAGTACTATTTAGTAGAAATACCCTAATGAAAACACATGCATTTATTCTGCATTTTTACTTTGGGGTATATCTAAAAACATCTTGCAAAAGCTGCCAGATCGTTTATATGGGACCTTTGCAAGTACACCCCTTATTTATTTATTGAGCTGTAATTCATACCCTAGCCAGGCGAGCGCCCTTTCATGCATGTGCATTATTGGAGAACTGTGTGGTCCAATGCACGACTCTCCGATGATGGCTGCCTACCATGTCTCATCAATTCCAAAGTTTGTTTCAGTAACTTGGTGGGGAAGGCATGAAGAGATGTTTGCTGAAGTTTAGTTTGCAAAAAGATTGAATTTTTAAAATTTATTTTCTTAATATTGTTTTTAAAATGTAAGCTGTGAAGAAAGGTTAACAAATTTAAACCTCTTTAGTTTAGAAGGACATCACCTCAGATTGAATATGATACTATTATACAAATATATCCGGGGCCAATACAAACTATTGTGTGGAAATCTTTTCACAAACCAGACTATACATAGGACACAAGGTCATGCGTTTAGACTGGAAGAAAGAAGATTTAGTCTAAAGCAACGGACAGGTTTTTTTTTTTTGTTTTGTTTTTTTTTAAACTGTGAGAACAATAAGGATATGGAATTCTCTGCCTGAAGAAGTGGTTTTATCAGTGTCCATACAGATGTTTAAACCACAACTAGATGCATACTTGCAAAAATATCATATTCAATTATATAATTTTTCAACTGTTAGTTTCTTGATCCAAGGATTATTCTATTACCTGACTGCCATTCTGGGGTCGAGGGATTTTTTTTTTTTCCTTGTTTGTTGCAAAATTTGAAGTGCTTCAGATTTGTTTGTTGTTTTTTTTGGCCTACTTTTGGATCAACCGCATTAAACAAATGTGAGGAAGTCTGAACTTGATAGACACGTTTCTCTTTTCAGCCTATGTAACTATGTAATTGTCAAGAATGTCTGTATTGTCAAAAATTAGAACTGTAATCCCTCCCCATCTTACTGGAATCGGTGTCTATTATCTTGTAAATCTTTCTGGAATTTTATTATTTATTCTAGTTATAATATCTGCTTACACCTGTGACTAAAAATATTTTTAGTAAACAACACCGCACATTAATGTGAGGGGTACAAGAAGTATCAGACATAAAATGCACGTTCAATTTATCAATGCTCTTTTAGTGGCTATATATGTGCATAGTAAAAACGGTGATGTTTGTTCTCTTGATATTGTCCTCTTTTTCTTAAACTGCTTTCTAAAGAACACATATATAGCGACACTAGCAGAGAGTAAAGATGGTGTTAGCGAATCAAATCCTGACCGTCACCTTTGCTTAGGCAAAGTCCAGGATATGCACCAGCTACCTGTAGTTGTCAATGTTGTCCACTAAATGACACGTCCCAACTTCCTTTGTGGCCAGCTTAGGGCAGAAACTGTGTGATTTGAAACCTTGTTGTCCTTTTATGACCCTTCTCACTTATTCATCAGGAAAGACAGCACCTCTCTTTGCCCTTATTACAATCCTTGTCTCTTAGGAAATATTGTATCTCGGGCCTTGTCTGCTATTATCCAGTAAGGGCCTTTGAGGTTTGGGCAGAGAACCATCCCTTGAATGTTTGGTGGGCCTGCGATATTCCTGGTAACTGAATTTATCAAGTGGCGTCCAGCAAAAAAAAGACCAATCGTCATCTTGGCCATCCTCTAGCTTTAGATTTTCACTTGAAAAGTTATTTGTATGACTGTAACCAGAAAGCAATAAAAAACTGCAAAAACATTTTTATCAAATGGCAAGGAATGGCGTTTCCCATATCTTCAAAAAATAGCTGTTCATAAAAGGAAGGGCTTGATGTAGACCAAAAAAATACAGAATTAAAAAAAAATGAAGAACATGCAGGTAAGGAAACCCAGTCCTGGCCATTGGATCAAATGACCTTTTACCTTGGTAATCCTAGCATTTTCTTTAAGATGTAATAATTAAACTAAAGATGGACATAAATCTTGACAGAACTTGTCATCTTTGTTGTGTTTTGTACATCTTGGGATAATCTAACTTCTCTATTTCACTCTGCAGCTTACAGTGGTTTCTGTTGCCCCTCAGCCTCCCAACTCTCCTCAGAAGGCAGTTGGTGTTCCCATAACTGTGGCCCTTGGTCAGCAGCTTCTGACTGTACAGCAATCAACTGCTTCTCCAGCTAAAGCCATCACTAATAGTACAGCTGCAAAGGTACAGAACATTACATCAGTTCTGTGTCTTTTTACAGAAGCAGGATGGTGTAGTAGGGTAATGGTCTGAGTGAGTGCTTCTGGTGGAATGTCCTATAGATAAATAGCGAGTAATCTTCTTTCCTGCTCTGCAGAGTGTAAAGCCCGGAGTCCAGACGATAGCTGTTGGAGGAGTGAACCCACCACAGTTCAAAACAATCATCCCTCTTGCTGCTGCTCCAAATGTCCAACAGATTCAGGTTCCTGGTAGCAAGTTTCACTATGTCCGGCTTGTTACTGCCTCTACAGCCAACACCTCAACATCTTCCAGTCAGAACCCCAGCACCAGCACGCAGCCTCTCCAGCAAGGTATATAACTGTTTGTAATATGGGTTTGTTAGTTTTTGTTTTTTTGCAGGCTGAATTCTTGTCTTATTCTACTAGCAGCAGAAAAGCTCAGAGTATTATTAAGGTGACTCTTTTGTTGTGTCTCCTGCAATCTACATTTAGAGGTACAAACTGTGCATAATGCTCAGCCATAAAGGAGCTCTCACGGAACCCTAACTACTTCAATGTACCATCAATGTAAGCCCTCCATGGATGCTGGGTTCCGCATCACTGCTAAACAATTTACTTGCTGTTTAGCAGAAATGCTTGGTCCTGGCAGCCCCAGTCTGGCCACCAATTATAATATGGTAGAGGCAGAACATAAGCTGTGCCTCACCGCATACTGCTTCATACTGAGGATTTGGGTAGTGATTGGCTGAGAGAGCTAAGCTGAAGCTCTCTGCCTATCACTGCCCTAGTATGGCATGAAACAGAGCATAGCTCCACCTACACAAAATCTTCACTAGCAGAGGTTCTCAGTGCCCTGCAGCCCAGCCTTTAAACGGTGATAAAGCATTTAGCAGAATGTTCAGGCACTCTAACCACAGTTAAATTGTCCCTTTAAAGGAGCACTCCATTCACTTGTTGTGGTCTATAGCCTGTAGTGCCCTCGGGAAACCTACTGTCACCTTCTTTCTAGCTGGAAGCTGACACATTCAGCCAATGAGATGGCCTTGCATGACAATGGAAGCTTTTTGAAGTAGCCTAATGCTCCAGTCCTGTGTTGGAGGGCACCTTTCAGACACCTGATGGGTTGTCAAACCAATAGTTTTTTTATCTTTTTTTCTGACCCCCTAAGCAAAATATTTAAAAAGTACTAAGATTTATTTAGCTCTTGCACTAGACATCGAATCAGTTGTGTGTGTTTTTCCTATACAATGTTTCTATATATTTTTGTTTTTCTTTCTTTAATTTGATTTAATGAACAGTCCCAATCACTTAACATTTCCAGTTCCTCTGTGCTCCACCTCTTTATTTTAAAAGTAGTCTGGTTAGTAATAGTGACAGATGTGTTTTTGACCTAGTCTTAATCCTGATCAAGCTGTAATACAAGCCTGACAATCCTACATTTATCCTATGGTTGTTTTTTTCTTTCATGTGTATAGAGAATCTTTATCCTTGAATAACCAGTCAACTCTTAAATGAATAGTGTATTAGAATAAAAAGTACATTAATTAATTAAACTTTTGTTTGTTTTTGTCTCTTTCCATAGCCAAACCTGTACTAGTTAATGCAACATCTGTACGGATGTCTGTTCCCATTGTCTCGGCACAGACTGTCAAACAAGTGAGTGTAGTAGTTGCTTGTATTCTTACACAACGATTACATTAATACATAGTGTAGTGTACTTACACTTCATATCATGTTTGTCTCTTGAGGTGGCCCCAAAACCATTAAGTTCATCTTCACAGATTGTCACAACAAGTCAACCACAGCAGAGACTTCTAATGCCAGCTACTCCTCTGGCACAAATCCAGCCAAACCTCACCAATCTTCCCCCGGGTACTGTGCTAGCCCCTGCTCCGGGAACAGGAAACGTTGGATACGCCGTCCTCCCTGCTCAATATGTCACTCAGGTGAGCTCAAGTTAACATTGTTAACCAAATTTAAAAACAAATGTTTTGTATTTTTAAACACACTGATCATGAGATCCTGATATTTATGCTGTACTCCCAGAATTCAGTGATGCAATATGCAGATTAGCACAGTCTCTATGGGTTTCCTTAGCAATGGCCTTTTTTTTTTTTGGTCTAAAACACGGATTTACTACAGGAGTCCGCAACCTTCGCCCTGCCGGCCTTATAAGGCCCACTTCCAGCAATTTTATGGGCTGCAATTGCCCATGATAAAATTATGGGCATCTGGTCCAAGCCTTGGGTGTCAGAGAAGGTGTGTGTCAGTAAGGTTTTGTGTGTATCACTGAGCTTGTCAAGTGTTAATTTAATATAAAATGTTATATAAAAAAATGATAAATAAATTACTTTAATTTATAAGGCTCATACCGGTAATCTCATTGGACTACAGATTGTGTTTACCCCAAAAAACAGTGTTGCTAAGATTTGTAGACCATAACAGAGAGGTAGATCTGTGTGTGTCTATGTAAATGGCGAAAAATTAGTCCTTGTTATTGTGGAAACTTTGTAAAAGTAAAAAGAATATGATTTTTTTATTATGTGGCTCTTTTTCATTATGCAGTTGCAACAATCCTCTTATGTGTCCATTGCAAGCAATGCAGGATTACCGGGAACCCCCAGTACACAGAGCCAGCCCAGAGTGCCACTCAATGGGTAGGTGTTAGAGCAATTCCTGTTCCTTTTACCTACAAAAGCAGGGGCTTATGGCTAATGTTACAATAAGAAACCTGATCAAAGTCTAAAGAGAAATCTCTTTTAATAAACTGGAAATTTAGAGAATGCAAATTTGTCACAATAGCTGGCATAGGAAAATAGCAATATTGACCTAAAATGTGGTGGTTTCACAAATTTACTGAATACATAATTGTAAGTGGTGTATTATGGTGGAATAATGCCATCAAGGGTTCTGGAGACATAATAAACTACAAAACTGAATAAAATGTTTATTTTTAAATGTCTCCAGAATTCTAAGATGGCATGACTTTTTCCTTGTACACACATCAAAGTTTTGCATCTTTTTATACGACATGATATTTTTAGGTTAGGGTTTGAAGTATTAAGCATTAGGAGTAATATTTCGTGTTGGGGTAGCATAGGTGTTCATATTTTGTGTAGGGTAGGGGTTACATTACTGGTCAGCATCTGTAGGGCAAGGATGTCGAAGTCTGCCCCCTGGATGTTGTTAACCTACAACTCCCAGAATTCTTTGCTTGCAGTAGAATGCCAGAGGATCCTAGGAGTTGTAGTTCGGAAACCTCTAAGGGACTGGTGTTGTAGTTACCTGCTCTTTGGACATTTCAAGAGATATCAATCTTTTGCAGCTTGATAGATTTGCTCAGCTTTTCAGGTGTTTGACTATTTCCAGTTACTCTACATTGTCACCTTGTTTTTATTTTCAGAATCATTTCTTCAGAATCAACTAGTCGCCCAAGAAAACCATGTAACTGTACAAAGTCTTTGTGTTTGAAACTGTAAGTAGCATTTAACTCCTTCATTCACAGATAAATTATCTTACCTTAAACCGACTCAAGGCACCTGTTCCCAACTTCAAACAAGTACCTGCCTCTTTTCTGTGTTCACCATGTCCAAATAATAATGTAAGTTAGTCGTCCTTAAAACCTCTCCATTTTCATTGGACCTCTTCAGGTTGTTCCTGATCACAAAATATACTTTCAGATACTGCATTAAATCTGAATCTCAACCTTCAAGCTGATTCCTTGGGTGTTATGTCCATAACACCAGACCCTTTGCATTGAAGTACCTGATCATTTCCTTCCCTCACATTTATGCTTCACTGCCTGGAGGTTATTGAGAACTAACAGAGCCATTATGGTGGTATGTCCTAAAAGGGACACTACAGGCACCCAGACCACTTCATCTAATTGAAGTGGTCTCGGTGCAGTGTCCCTGTCCCACTAGTCAGCAATGTAAAACATTGCAGTTAAGAAACTGCAATAATTTCCTTGTAGGACTAAGACTGCCTCTAGTGACTATCAGACCGCCACTAGAGGCGCATCTGGGATTCTAACGGACTCTGAGTCCCTTAACCAACACTGGACATCCTCCTATGCATGAGGACATCCAGTGCCATTTAAATAACCTTAGGAAAGCATTGAGGCAATGTTTCATTATGGGGAGTGCTTAATGCGCTCACCGTGCATACCCATTGGATAATGTTGGAGGCATTGTGCCGACCCATCACCTATGGGACACAAATTATATTTTAACCCTTTGTGTACCTGGGATTGTGGGGGTCTGTGAGAGAGGGAGAACAATGGGCCCTAGTGTTACGATTACAGATTTGAATTTCTGACACTGTATAATCCATTTAATGTAATCGGCAGATTTTCATGTGAGAGAGAGACATTGTTGAATTGTGTACCAGAAAGAAACACTAGCCATATGTGTTCAGTTATTTTCGTGTTGGACTTTTCACTTAATTTTTTTGTCTCCAAAATTTCAGGTACTGTGACTGCTTTGCCAATGGTGAGTTTTGCAACAACTGCAATTGTACAAACTGCTACAACAACCTTGAGCATGAAAATGAAAGACAGAAAGCAATCAAGGTAAGATGAACTGACTTGTTCTCATTTCTCTTGTGTATTGAATTTACTTGTATCTGCTATATGTTATCTTTATTGAAGTGAGATTTATTTCCAAATAGAACTGTTTGTGTATTTTTTTGTTTAATTTCTATAGATTGCGATTATAACTAAATGTGGATGTGTGTTTGGGCCTCTTTTTAGGATGATTTGCAGAGCAACTGTCTCATCCGTTATTTCTTGTTTTTTTTTTTTTGTTTGTTTTTTTCATTTTTCTTTAGTTTAGCACATAACACTATGATGATATTAATGTTAATATCGTTCTTGTGTGTTTACCAGCAATTCTTCACATTTCTAGGACCACTCAGCTTGTGAGTCCAGTTTGTGGGAAATGGGAATATTCTGCAGCAAACTCGCAAAGGAAACTATATATTTATGTCGACCAATTTTCTAGTAATTTATTACTCTGGCATAAGTAATACCTCATTTTACTTGCTGACGTCAAAAGCTTTGTGCCTTTTAGAACTTAAATTCCAGACACAATTTTTACTAAGCACACTTGGTGTAATAAAGTAAGGTCTGTTATATGTATTTACCAATCTAGCTGTTGCTTGTATTTGTTGTTCTATCTATCTACATACATGTTTATTAATTGTTGTGCATTATTAAAATGGGTTGCGAAATTCTTCCTAGTGTAAACAATATTTATTTATTCATAAAATATTTTACCAGGAAGGATACATTGGGATTTCTTTAGTTTTTTAAGTATGCCCAGTGCCCACAAACATTGCATTGCTACAATAGGGTACAAAGTAACATTAAAAATAAAAAAGTAATATAAAAATAAATACAATATAATATTAAAAATAGTGATCTTAAAATACACATACATTTAACCAAGAACTAGTAAGAAATATAATGCAAGACTGTGTTGTAGCGTAACCTGTTAAAAGAGAAAGTCGGTTGAAGTGCGCTAGAACTGATGTTGCGGTAGGCCAGTAAATAAGTGGGCCCACTCTAGTAGAATATAAGTGAATAAAGAGAGTGGAGGGGGGGCATGCAGACCGCCAGACCATTAACGGTAGGGTAGGAAAGGGGGGAGTTTCTTATGTAGGTCACACAAGCCCCTCCTACAACTCCAGACAAAGCCTTAACATTTGTGTTCGGGTCAACATCGATATGGTTAATGCAAGACTGTTGTAGCGTAACCTATTACAGGAGAAAGTCGGTTGAGGTGTGCCCGGAACTGACGTTGCAGTAGGCCAGTATATAAAAATGGGCAAAGAGGAAGAAATACAATGGCGTTGTAGATTTATTGAGATAATGAACATAATGCAAAGTAAATTACTTTACGATTATATTTTAACAAAAGCCTTCCGCTTGACTAGATAGGAACTTTTAAGGCAATCGTGGGAGTTGTTTCTGCTGTTGATGGTAAATTCCTGTGTCCTAAGAAACCCATAAAACGCCAGGTAAATAGCGGTATTGATGTCTGTTAGTGATGTGTTCAAAAGGGGCTGAGTCTAGTAAGTTGGACATGTTTTTGAATAATTGCTTATGGATTGGCAACCTTTGTTGTGTGGTTGGACCGCTGGCTTTAGATATGCCTTTGAGTATAGTTTTTATTGGATAAGACGAAAAGAAAATTGGTATTATTTGGAAAAGTAGAGAACATATGATGTTGGATGCCAGTGAGGTATAACTTGATGCTATTGTAAGATAGCCTTAACTTAAGGTGGCAAGAAGTTGCGAATGCTACCAGGGATGTAATATCAAACATTGTATCTATGTTGTGTTCCGCTATGAATCTCTTGTATAATATGAAGTCCCTATCATAGGATTGACTAGTGTTAGTTGATAGCGCCATTTTAGTTAAGACTTGGCTATGGTTTAATAACTAATTTAGTCCATGATTAGATCTTGGAATGGTGGGGCGGATGTGGCTAGGTGTGAGGCTGTAGGAAGAGTTTCTCAGAACTAGATAATTGGTCAGCTGCTGTATTGAAAATTCCAGGCACATGACAACAAACTAAATAAAAATGATGGCTGCTAACAAGTCCGTTTTCTGATGAATCTCATTATAGTCAAAGAGGATGAACACCCTTTATTTACGATGTGTCAAATTGCTTGATTGTCAGAAAAACATTGTACTGAACAGCCGGCCCATAAATGGCCCGAAGCTACCGCTGCAGCCACTATTGGGTACACTTCAAATAAGGCTTAGTTGCGAGAGAACCCTTCTAAATTCACTACCCCAGGGTCAATGATTACCGAATACGGCTGCAAAACCGGTGGTCACTGCTGCATCTCTCCAGATGATGGGGGAACGTACCGATAATTGTGGGAGAAACATACTCTTCCCGTTTAAAATAAATTTGCACCACATGAGAAGGTCGGCAGTAGCATGTGTGTTTAGAGAGATACAACTGCTGGCATTGGAAAATTTGGGGAGCAAGCTAAGAAGTCTGGAGATGAAGGCCGTACCCTGCGAGATGATGCCCATCGCAAAATTAAGGGAGCATAGCATAGATTGTAACTCCTTGCGGTTATAGGAACCGACCTGAATATATTGGTCGATGCTTTTAAGGATATTATCAATGTCCGTTTTGCTGAGCCAGGCCCCTAACCCTGCCATAATGACTGCATCTATTGCATTGTCTGTTGTTGTGTACTGTAGTGAAAATTCCTCTGAGAGAATCAATGAGTTAAGACTAGGGACTACTGAGGAGTGTGGTGTCGAGAGGTCTATGATCAGTCTTTGTTTTGAAGAGCTTTTCCCAGTAACTAACCCAATTGGGTTTGTCATAGATTTAGAAAATGAGGTTCCTGAAAAGTCTCTAATAAAAACCCTTGACTCAATTCTTGCTGTAAGAGTACCTCTATGCCTTCGGTTGTTGCATTCTATAATACCTGCTGGCATGTGAATAATGCCTGAATGAAAACCTTGTGTAAAACCTGGTATTTTAAATTAACCGGGTGTGTGGATAGAAGGCTAGCTAGCGCACAAACATTTACAGAGGCCAAATAATACATTTTATTGGGGCACATGGATTTCGCATGTGCTCTGTAACAGTGAGAACAAACATGCAATAAGCGGCAAGCACTATAACCACACATACCTTCGTTTAAGGGAACACTATAGTCACATAAATTATTTTAGCTAAATAAAGCCGTTTTAGTGTATAGATCATTCCCCTGCAATTTCACTGCTCAATTCACTGTCATTTAGGAGTTAAATCACTTTGTTTCTGTTTATGCAGCCCTAGCCACACCTCCCCTGGCTATGATTGACAGAGCCTGCATGGAAAAAAAAACTGGTTTCACTTTCAAACAGATGTAATTTACCTTAAATAATTGTATCTCAATCTCTAAATTGAACGTTAATCACATACAGGAGGCTCTTGCAGGGTCTAGCAAGCTATTAACATAGCAGGGGATAAGAAAATATTAATTAAACAGAACTTGCAATAAAGAAAGCCTAAATAGGGCTCTCTTTACAGGAAGGGTTTATGGAAGGCTGTGCAAGTCACATGCAGGGAGGTGTGACTAGGGTATAAACAAAGGGATTTAACTCCTAAATGGCAGAGAATTGAGCAGTGAGGCTGCAGGGGCATGTTCTAAAGTTTTTCATGTGACTATAGTGTCCCTTTAAATTGTTACAAATTTGCAATTTACCTAAATATACAATTGGACGTCCAAGCTTATCCTTAACTGGTTTGTCAGTCTTTGTGTTGGTGCCAGGGGTAGCCATGTTAAGAGAAAGATCGGGTGAGATTGGACAAAAAATTTGCGGAATGCGAATTGGATGTGCAAATTGCACAAGCTGGTGTCCTCAGTCCAGCAAAGTGTCTGCAAAAAAGCTCTGTGTCAAGTTGATTCCAGTCTGTTCTAACATTGAACTGGGCAAGAACTGCAGATACGTTCACTGAAAAGGATCGGTGGTACCCAAGTCCACCAGCTTGTGCATGTAGAGATCCAATTCCATCCTCCTGTGTGGGTAAACTGAACATATAACTTCTCTGTAAATCCCAAAGGCTAAAACAAAATCCAGAATAGACAGTTTCTTGATTAGTCTCTGGTCCCTGGATTTTAGTACAACTGATATATCCTCATATGCGTACGTGCGATTCTCAACATCTTGGGAGGCAATCAGAAGAGAGACAAGATTAACGTCTTTGCCCTCCAGGATGCGTCTGTTTTTTTTTTTTTTTTTTTGATTTGCTGGCACCATGTGGGCTGGGTTAATAACGTGAGATCCTGACCCTGGGTATACACTATTACAAGATTGTGTCTGGGACGGGCCTGGAAGTTCAGTAGCAAAGGACCCTGTTGACGGTATGGCAAGACTGCAAGCTTCTAGTGTTTCCAGTCTGTCATTTATTTTCTCCATAGATGACCCGCGTGCTGATATCGAGTGGAGATCGGTGTTACTTGAGCTTACTTGTGCCTTCTCCAGCATCTGCATTGTCCGTATTGGTCCGCATGAGCCTGAACAGCTCCGCTTTCCTGGCTGTTGCTAGGAAAGGAATGTTGTGTTTGCGTAGTTCCGCTGTTATGCGAGAAATGGTCCATGACCTGATAGAAGCAGGGCTATTTGCCTCACCTTTATGTGTAGATGTAGTGGACTGTACTGGGGATTAACATGTCGTCGCCTTGTTTGGGGATTTGAGACATACTGAAAATATATAGCAATATTTAGCTTCGAACTGGATTGTTTTACAAGCTGGCTAGCTAGTGCCAAATGGCAAAACAATTCATTAGGTTGGTGACATGTGAGGCCCTACTAGTTGTCAAGTGGCGTGAGAGGCTCTATCTATGCGTTGGCGAGAGGGGATTTGTTGCCACCGTTAGTTGTGGCAGGGTGTTGGCCTCTCGGTGACTCTTATAGCACAAGATAGATTGGGTATGACAAGTGAGGACCTCTCTGTGCAACTGTGCAAGGCGGCTATCTATGTGTTGGCCCGTGGGGCGTATTACCATGTGTGGAGGATGGGTGTTAGCCTCGCGGGACCACTAACTCTAAGGCGGAGATGCCAGAAAATATAATTTCTATTGGCCACCTGGATCCCTATAATCCAGTAAAACATTCTAATTAATGGTATGTATTACTGTGGAGCTAACGTGGCTAATAAGGTACTTGGAGTTAATTCTCATGCTTGTAAGTTCTGTACAGTATGGTTGTAACCTAATAAAGGAATGAGACAAGGTGTGTGTATGTGTATGTGTATATGTATATATGTATATATGTATGTATATATAATATTCACTATTACCAGAACGCATCAACTACAACTTGTCTCATTCCTTTATTAGGTTACAACCATACTGTACAGAACTTACAAGCATAATTTTTTTTTTTTTTTATATATATAACACTTACCTGACACAGAAATCTGTGATTCCCACTAAAGAAAGTAGAGAGGGGAAGGATAGGCCTATACAGGTAGTTCCTGACTTTACGAACTAATTGGTTTTGAAGCCTAGTTCATAAAGTGAGAACTAATTTCCCATAGACCACAATGTAATAAACATAGGTTCCGTTCCTGACCAACAAATTTTTCCATTGAAAATCTTAATTATGAAGTACAAATACAAGATAAAAGCATAGCAAATACATATGTTGTAAGAACATTAAAAGAATACATACCATATTGAAATCTTCATCAAATCATCATCAGTTCTCTTCCTCCTCAACCACATGTTGCACTTGTTTCTGTTTCCAGCCCCTCCCAGTGTCTCGTTACCCCATGCCAACCTCTCCAGGTGTCATTACCCCCAGCCTTTCCATGTGTCTCATTCCCCCTCCCAGTGTCTCATTACCCCCTCCCAGCCCTTCCAGGTGTCTGCTTCTCCCTCTGTGTCTCATTGCCCCCTCCCCCCCAAGCCCCTCCAGGTGTCCCATTCCCTCCTTCCAGCCCCATCCATGTGTCCCATTTCCACTCCCAGCCCCATCCATGTGTCCCATTTCCCCTCCTAGCCACATCCATGTGACCCATTTCCCCCCTTCCTTCCCTTTCCATGTATCTATCCTCCCTCCCCTATTGTACAATCACTCCCTTCCTACCAAAGACCATCATTGTTACTTACCTTCCTCTTCTCCTGGCCACAAACTCTGCTCCTCGGTCTGGGTCCGCGGAGCGCCGCCGGCACAAAATAAAATGGCGGCGGGAGTACGTAAAGCGGGAAATGCCTGTACCTAAAAATAACAAAGACTGGTATACAAATTTATTTAACATGAAAGCTAAGGAAATCCTAATAGTAATAACCCCACATAACAAAACATCTACTTACTAAAATTTGATTCGAGTTCTGAAGAGCAAATGCTGCTCTGAATTGATAACCTCGTAATCTGTAAAAGAATATGACTTATCTGAAAACGGATGTAAGCTGGTCCCTAGACAGAGCAGAAAAGTGCATATGTGAAATTTGCATAGTGTTCCTAGTGAGATCCACTACCATTTCTTTTTTTGCAACAAGAAAGTAAAAAAGAAACAATTCTTTTAAAGAATGTAGCGCTTATAAAATAGACAAATTATCACCTTTTTATGTTCTGTTGGAAGATAGATTCTCATTTAAATGTCAAATAAGTAAGTATAAACAGAGAGCTATGGACCCAGCTCTGGTTTGAATCCCTTCTGGGGCCGTATAGGCGTATAGATTCAGCTTGTGGCCCTCGCAGGGATTCGTTTTTAAAATGAATGAATTCCCCTCCGAAACCCCCCAATCTATGCGAATTAAATTTTAAGGACACAAATGCTCTATACAACCATAGAGCTTTCGTGCCCACATATTCTTATTTGAAGCATGCAAACTCATTCGTGCGTCTAAGCCTAAGAGAACCGTTCGTATGGAAAGAGCTGAACGGGTTGGTATCCATGCCGACGTATAGCCTGAAAGCTTTCCACGAAAGGAGGCTTGCGTTCAAAAGGTTGAAAACCACAAATTAAGCCGAAAAACAAGCATACACTAATGCATGATAATGAATAAAATCAAACCGCGATGATGCTGTGGGAGGGCGCCGGCGCGACTGCTTGTCCACAGGATCGGAAGGTCAGCAGGAGTTTCAGGGTCAATTGGGCTGCACGGATGGCAGACAGAGGAGCAGAAAATCAGTGCAGCAACGGAGCCTGTACTGGAGGGGGATCCAGATGGTATTAACTCCGCCGAGCAGAACCCGGTCACAGCAGAGCAGGAGACAGTAGAAGTTCCACGGACAGGTAAGTAGTGAGATGGCAGTCTGCATGTACCGGAAGTAGCAGCATGCAGATCGCCAAACCATTAACGGTAGGGTAGGAAAGGGTGGAGTACCTTATGTAGGTCACATAAGCCCCTCCCACAACTCCAGGCAAAGCCTTAACATTTGTGTTCGGGTCAACATCGATATGGTTAATGCAAGACTGTTGTAGCGTAACCTATTACAGGAGAAAGTCGGTTGAGGTGTGCCCGGAACCGACGTTGCAGTAGGCCAGTATATAAAAATGGGCAAAGAGGAAGAAATACAATGGCGTTGTAGATTTATTGAGATAATGAACATAATGCAAAGTAAATTACTTTACGATTATATTTTAACAAAAGCCTTCCGCTTGACTAGATAGGAACTTTTAAGGCAATCGTGGGAGTTGTTTCTGCTGTTGATGGTAAATTCCTGTGTCCTAAGAAAACCATAAAACGCCAGGTAAATAGCGGTATTGATGACTGTTAGTGATGTGTTCAAAAGGGGCTGAGTCTAGTAAGTTGGACATGTTTTTGAATAATTTACATATAAATAAATAAATAAAGCATTGAAAGTCATGTTTCAGTGTTTGCAGATGCTCAAAACTCTGTAAAGTAGTACAATGTAAGCAAGATATTACTTTGCTGCAGAGGGATTTAGATAGACTGGGGGACTGGGAACTCAAATGGCAGATGAAATTTAATTTTGAAAAATGCAAAGTTATGCACTTCGGTGTAAAGAATGCACAAGCAATTTATACCCTTAATAGAAGCGAATTAGGGAGAACAACACACGAAAAGGACTTGGGAATTGTTATACAAACTATGCAACAATGTGCAATGTCAATCCGCAGTGGCCAAGGCCAGTAAGTTATTGTCATGCATTCATTCTTGGAATGAGAATATCATTTTGCCTCTTTATAAATCACTGGTAAGACCACATCTTGAATATGCTGTGCAATTTTGGGCACCTGTTCTAAAGAAGGACATTATGGCACTAGAAAAAGTGCACAGGCAAGCTAAAAAATTAATAAAAGGAAGGGTACATTTCAACAATGAAGAAAGGTTAATGAATGTCAGAGGGGATATGATAATATATAAATATATCCAGGGCCAATACAACCCATTGTGTGGAAATCTATTCACAAACCGGACCACCCTGCAACTAAAGAAACCACACGCGGCTAATCCGGTCACGCACACGTGGAACCCAGCAACATCCACTGCATTCGTCCCTCGGAAGGCCTTCTTGGACACCTATGCGGCTGCCACAACCTGAGGCCTCTTGGCACTTATTGGGACCATCCCCTCGTGACTTCATGTAACACCATTGACCGGGACTGTATATAGTTATATAGTTGTATTGTTCATGTTGCCTTATGGAGTCCCTCCATAACCATCTTGCTTTTATACTTTTTTTTTTTTTTTTTATATATATCTCTCAACCGGCTGTCTCCTTTTTTTTATTTTTATTGTTACTCTTTTGTTCCTCATATCCCACTCTCATAGCCAAGGGGCTGACACTAGGAGGACATATAGTACAGCCGACACTAGTTGAGCCACTCAGTAGAGGGCCGGATCACAGAGCGACATCTACCGCTCCTCCTCCTCCCCCCGAGCTCAGGGATACAGAGCACTATACGCAGCATACATTGACAGCTACTAACTCTAGGAACCTTTAACACTACAGACATGCGACTTACCCTTCTAGATTTAAAATCTCAAGTTTTATATAGGTTAGTTCAGTTGTTTTTTCTTGCATAATTAAAAAAAAAAATGGGCACAACATACATATCACTTATGCGAACCTTGACTTTATGATTGTAAACTATAATCTATTGCAACTGCATGAACCCTATGCCCGCAAAAATAAAGAATTTAAAAAAATTATTTTAAAAATCTGCACCCAAACCAAATCGTCACAGAATAAAAGGATTTTGATTTGTATATTGATGAAACACATTTTCTCACAGGTCTATACTGCTGTTTTTTTTGTTTGTTTTTTATATATGTTTATTTTTTTGCATTATTTATGTAGGCTTGCCTGGATAGGAACCCAGAAGCTTTTAAACCTAAAATTGGAAAGGGAAAGGAAGGAGAATCTGACAGGCGACACAGTAAAGGCTGCAACTGCAAGCGTTCAGGATGTCTTAAAAACTATTGTGAATGCTATGAGGTAAGAGGATTATGTTTGTGTAGGTGGGCTCTGGGAGAGTCTGGTCATCAAGCACTTTGCAAGGCCATTTCCTTCTGTCATTAAATGGTTGTCATGACCCTAAGAAAAAGTTATTTATTACATATTTATGTATAAGCGAATGCCTTTGGGCCTTTATCTCTTTACTGTCATAATAGCGTATGTCTCTGCTAACAACTCTTTAATTTTTCATAATGTTTTTTTAGGCTAAAATAATGTGCTCCTCTATATGCAAGTGCATAGGCTGTAAAAATTTTGAAGAGAGCCCAGAACGCAAAACATTAATGCATCTTGCGGATGCAGCAGAAGTGAGAGTCCAGCAGCAAACTGCAGCCAAGACAAAGTTGTCTTCACAGATATCTGACCTGCTCACAAGGCCTTCTCCTTCACTAAGCAGTGGAGGCGGAAAGTAAGTTATCTTTGGATGAATGGTTATCTATACAGTGTTTGCTATATTTATATGTAAGTTTTACTTTCTAGCAATGCAACATGCTGTGTCCCAGGAAACCTTGGAAATTCATTTATTTAATATTATTTATTTAAGGCTCCCAGCTAGTCTTCTATGAACACTCCCAAAGATCCACTTGTACCAACTTCATAGATAAATTCTATCATACTTCATATATGAACTCAAACCTGCTTCTCCAAAAAAATAATGTAACTGTTCTCACTCTCACTAAACAGATGGTCAGATTATTCCAGCCTTCAAGCGGATCTGCCTTGTTCCATCACAAGCGTTGAATCAATGCATCTCTATGGGGAGTGTTTAGCCGCTGAATGTCAGTGCTGCACACTGTGCAGCAGTGACACAGGAAACACCTCTACTAGCCATCAAAGTGATTGCCACTTGAGGTGTCACTAGTAATGTAAACACTGCTCTTTCTCTGAAGAGGCAGAGATGTGCATTAAAAAGCCTGCAGGGACACCGTAATTTAAGCCTAATGTTACATATTACCACCCTCACACGACACACATCACCGACATGATACTGTCTGTTATGATTGTTTTTTTGTTTTTTGGGGGTTTTTTTTTTTAAAGAGTGCGATGTTCTCAAAAGCCAAGTACCTGATACCCAATGTTCTACAATAATCTTTCTGTAGACCTCTGCTTGGTCAAAATGCCTTTACTGTTATCGAATGCACTATAAAAATAAAGAATTTAAAAAAAAAAAAGCCTGCAGGTACATGCCATAGACACTAGAACATTTACATTAAGCTGTAGTTCTGGTGACTAAAGTGTCTTTTTAACTTCTGATTGAAAGTAAAACTATTTCATGATGCAGGCTGTCAATCATAGCCAGGGGATGTGTGTTTAGGGCTGCATCAACCAAAACAAAAGTGATTTGACTCCTAACTGGCAGGGAATTGAGCAGTGAGTCTACAGCGGCTTGATTTGTACACCAGAACTGCTTCGTTAAAGGACCACTCTAGGCACCCAGACCACTTCAGCTTAATGAAGTGGTCTGGGTGCCAGGTCCAGCTAGGGTTAACCCATTTTTTTTTATAAACCTAGCAGTTTCAGAGAAACTGCTATGTTTATTAATGGGTTAAGCCTTCCCCCAAAGCCTCTAGTGGCCTCTCATTGACAGCCACTAGAGGCGCTTGCGTGCTTCTCACTGTGATTTTCAGTGAGAGCACGCAAGCATCCATAGGAAAGCATTTAGAATGCTTTCCTATGCGACCGGCTGAATGCGCGCGCAGCTGTTGCCGCGCGTGCGCATTCAGCAGACAGGGCGGAACGGAGGAGGAGGAGAGAAGGAGGAGAGCTCTCCGCCCAGCGCTGGAAAAAGGTACGTTTTTACCCCTTTCCCCCTTCCAGAGCCGGGCGGGAGGGGGACCCTGAAGATGGGGGCACCCTCAGGGCACTATAGTGCCAGGAAAACGAGTATGTTTTCCTGGCACTATAGTGGTCCTTTAAGCTAAAGCTGTTTTGAAGTCTATAGATACTACCGCTACAACGTTAGCTTAATGAAGTTGTTTTGCTTTAAGCTAAAGTTGTTTGGATGCCTATAGTATTCCTTTAACAAAGGATGCAGAGCTTGATTAACGCTCCTCCCTTTGTTAACCTACATGTTCCCTACTTTTCCTTGTATATAACTTTCAAATAGTCATTATTTTACAAAAACAGGACAGTCCAGGGGAACAAAATGCATCATTTAAAGGGACTCTTCATAAACCTAAAGCACTTTAGCTTGCTGAAAAGCTTTGTGTGAAGAGTGTGTTATCTTTATTTAATTTTGCAAAAAGTACAGATTTCCATAAAACTAACCTGGTTATACCCCCTTGGTTTTTAATCAGACAACGGGTCCTGTTACTTCCTGGTTTGGTTATCTCATTGGAACTAAACTCAAGAGGCCGCAATAGCCCAGAGCACCTGCCTTGCAAAAACATTTCATTAAGCTGAATTGGGAAGTCTGTGATTGGACATCTACAGAAAGTCTAGGCAGGGTTAGAAGGGGAGAGATTGCCAAGGCAGAATTGCAACTCTTACAAACTGTTTTTAGATATTCTTCAAAGAAAAAAAATACATAATTACATGCATGCAAGTTTTTAATTGGAGTATAGCTACTAAACAGTGATTTTTATTTATTTTGTATTTGAACAATGGAGTGTCCCTTTAACTAACAAAAAATTATATATATTTAGATTCATGGGAATAATATTGGGATTTTAAAATGTCCAATTACTATCCAACATATTCACATAACTCCTGCATTTGGTATCTGTAATCTTTATGAATCTCACTTGCAAAGAGCTATGTATCCAGAGATAGCATGCGTTTGTTAATTTAGGAAACGTGTGTATTAGTCAGTCTAACATTAAGTTATCCTACAAAGGTTTTAAAGTTTTAAGCATGATTTTCTTTTTTTTCCTTTTTTTTAATTCTTTATTTTAGTAGTGCATATAGTATACATGTATGCTTGCATAGCCACAACAGCTGGTGCAGGCTAGACATAAACATAGAAAAAACAGTTGTATACATGAGTATAAGAACAGGCTAAGTCTGAAGCTGCTATGGTGGGTTATGTAGGTTGAGTTATGGTTCATTTCAACGTTGTTACACATAGCCCTACAGCATATGAAAAAGGTGTGCTTTGCTACCTGTTTGGTACATGGTTAAGCTAGTGGTGTTAGCTAAGGCTGAATAATTACAATGGGTTAGTTAGTGTGTTCAAGTTTAGTAAAATTTATTATGTTCTCAGGTGTCAGCGCAGCTCTTGGATTGCCACCAAAATACCCGCTGCAAAGGACAGCTGGTTGGCATAACTAAGGGGTAGAGAGTTTACCACTAGGAGGGAGGGCCCCAGTATTGGTGTCCTTAGTGAGGTGTGCCCTCATCGCTGGCATGGAGAAGTGGCCTAAACAGTTAATCGTAAAGCATAACATAAAAGTATTAAAGTAACACCAAATGTCAGGGAAAAACAATAAAAACTTCAACATTTGTAGATAGAAACTATATGAGGCATGGAGTGATTGACTCATCTGTAGTATCAAGAGTCCCGGTCAGCCAACCCCCGCAAAAGGTATACCACAGTCCCACTCTGGTGCCTTTGTGAGTCTTGGTCTTGGTCGCAGCGTGTGCTCAGGGGGCGCCCCGTGTTTTGGTTGTGGGACGTTGTTGGGCTAACCTGGTGTTGCCGCCATTTTGGGCCCTGTGCCTCGCCATCTCCACTCCCGGTCTAGTGTCACTCCCTTCTGAGGTGAGGTGAGTCCCGTCTGGGAAGCCTTCTGCTTGCCCGTGTGCCTCCTGCTCCGAGGTCCTCCGCACTTCCGTGCCCTGTCTGCCGTCGAGTAGCACAGACCGTGAGCCGGTCTAGGCCCAGAGGGTCCTCTTCGTGTCTGTAAGTGTCGCTGCGATATATGCCTCTTCTGACTGTGTGGAGCACGGTGTCGGTCTTTGCCGGATCGACGGTGGGGCGGGAAGGCAGGCTTGCATTGGTGCCCTGTTTGGTTGAGGGCGTTTGGCGGCTGCGCGGATGCCGGTTCGCTTGATGGGAGTGGGTGAGTGATGCTCGCCTTGTAGAAGTGGGTGGTCGTGGTGAGGCAAGTTGATTTGGCTTACCCACCAGCTTCCTCCAGAATGCCTCGAAGTGGTTGTTTATTCGAGTGAGGATATCTTGTGAGGTGTCACTGGGGTTGTAAGCACATTTTGTGTCCGCCATCTTAGGGAGGTCTCCGTTTACTGTCTTTGGTGGTGTTCCCCTTCTCATCATGCTCAGGGTCGCCACCCCAGGGTGGACCGGGATCACCCCCGCCGGTCCGAGGGGTGCGGTGGGCAGCTTCAGGGTGCCTCCAGGACAGGGGAGCGGCTGCCTCCCCCACCCGTTGCAGACCAGGCCGCAGTGTCGGTCGTGATTTCATCAGGCCCCAATCAAGTCGCATAAGAGCCCATTGTGTGCCCTCCATCGTGGGTGGCATGTGGGTGCCTGGAAATGCTGTTTGTGTTGCTTGGGTGAGCAGATTTTTGTTTGTTTTGTCAGGATTTTGTGGGAGCTCATGGAAAACACGACTCTCCGCCATGATGGTCAGGCCCCGCCCCTGCATGATTTTCTTTTTACCTGGTTTAGTTCAAAATGCAATTCAATAGTAATACTAGTCTTGTAATTTTTTCCATATACATTGATTTGAACAAATGTTTTGTTTGTTTTTAGGCTCCCCTTCACATTCATCACAAAGGAAGTTGCTGAAGCCACTTGTGAATGCCTCCTCGCCCAAGCCGAACAGGCAGAGAAACAATCTAAAACCACGGCCGCAACTGAAAGAATGATCCTAGAGGAGTTTGGACGCTGTCTAATGAGAGTGATTAATTCTGCCGGCAAAGCAAAAAGCGACCCTTGCCCAATGAGTTGCTAAGTGTAACTTTCAGCACGGAAAAACAGGGGAAAAAAACAGAACTTCCTTTGGCTATGCAGGTGGCATGGGATTTAATGCATAGACTTACTGCCAGAGATTAATTGAGGACTCCAGCCTTTACTCTGTCCAGAAGATGTCACAGAATTACTAAATGGTGCTGGTTTTAAAGTGACTTTCTACATTGTATATAAGATAGAAGATGTAATTTTATGGAAAAATTACCTTTTAAATTCAATAGTTAACACACTCCCAAATCCTGTACATATGACGATACCTTAATGGTGAATTTATATTTTGGGTTTTTGTGTTCACCTCCCGCTTTGCTTGTTGTGTAGTTGTAATATTTTATTTATTTCTCCCCAGTTTTTCGTTCTAGTCTGGCCATTAATAATTTGGTGCATTTGTCTAGTTAGGGAGACACAAAATATACCTTTGGAGATTTTGTATAAAGAAAAAAAGGCATTGTGCATAACTTTGATCTCCAGATAATTTAGTGATGTAAAAAGGTGGTATTTTTTTTTTTTAATTTTTTTTTTTAATTTTTTTTTATTTAAATGGAAGATTTTAATACGGGCTATTTTAAGTAGGATACTAAACTCCTGAAACTTATTTGATAAGTTAAAAAAATAATCACATGTAGAATATGTGAAAGGACATATTTTAAAAATGTAGGCAAGCACGAACAGGAACCCCTTTTTTAACCAGAGGTTGCGGACTTCTCGGTTGGTCGTTTCACTGCCCTTGCATGTCCGCTTCTTACTAGCAATCTGTTTTGTATTATTGTTCCTGATCATATTCCAATCAGGGCTTAGCAAACTAAAAATATGTGAATTTGTTTATGTTTTAGTGACTATATAAATATAAAAAAATATATTTTTTTTACAGAGGTTACTAAAATTGCAAATAACATAGGAGGACATAGATATTGCGATGGTATGTCTCAGACAGTTTTCTAATAATTATTCTATTGGAATGGATATCTGAAAATAATATTTCTGGGTCACTCATTCCGTGGTTTGCATCTCATTTCTTCAGTGAGACACTGATCTGTTTTACTGTCCTTGTAAGCTATTAGGTGGACATATATGGTTATAATTTCAGCCTGATAAATTGGGGGGGGAGGGGATGTATGCCTAAAAGGTTTTATCCATCTTAGCTTTTGACAGCAAGCCTGTAAATGACAAATCAGAAGGCAAAAAACAACAACCTCAACACTTGTATGTTGCCAATACTAAAATGTGTTCTATAGGTTAAACCAGTGGTTCCCAAACTTTTTAGGTTCAAGGCGCCCTTAATATTTCAATATTTTTCCAAGGCGCCCCTAGTAAAAAAAATAAAAAAATAAATGTCTAGGTTGTATACATGTACAGCACTGCGGCATATTAGTGGTTATGGTGCCAGGAGTGCTGTGGTGTAGTAACCCCTCACCCCCCCACACACAATCGACCCCTGCCCGCTGCAGCATTACACTGCTAGCGGGCCAGTGAGGGAGATCCGGTCCTGCTGAGCCTGCAGGGGAGAGGGAGGCACAGATCCCGGTGCTTCGGTTATAGCACCAGGAAAATTTCTTGCGACGCCACAGGGCACCGCAACACACAGTTTGGGAATCACTGGGTTAAACTATACTTAGCTCAACGTGGGGAGGATAATGTTCTAATTACATTGTGTAAATTATCTTTTCTTGAATATTTTCCCACTTTCTTTTAAGTTTTTATAAAACCCCTATAGAGTGTGCTTATCTTTTATTCATCTCTTAATCAGGTTTTGTGTATATACATAATAAATATAGCCAACATGGACTTCCTCTGGGTACTCGGCAATGTCAGCGAGTTAGACATTTGATCTTCTCAACTTTTTGGCATTTAAAACATTCAGTTGAGTTAATCAGTTTGATGAAATTCCTGACTTTGATTGGCTACTGGCATGATATGTTTTGAGCAGCAACTTGTCCCCTTCTCATCCTAGCCAGGCATCCTCATCTCTAAAATATGTTGAGATACTAAAGTCATAACTAAAGCTAACTTTACTGTGACTTATGCATACATAAATATAATTTTAAACTTAATTATATAAAGAGAATAGCAGGCGACAGTCACTTTTAATGTATATTAAAACACAGTTGCTTAAAGAAATGATGCAGCTTTTCATGCAATGGAAAATATATTGGTTTATTTACTTCCCATTTCGTCTAGTCCATACTTGGACTTTCATCTTCAAAAACCGCAATACATATAATACTTTGGCTTTTTCTTCCTGGTCCATGCACCCAAATCTGTTTTACTGGCACTGATCTTTTGCATCCTTAATATACAGAATTAATAGAACTTCACCGTATAACAGCACATTAGTGATTTTAAAGTGTGGCATATTCTGGTTACAGAATTGTGAAATTTGTTGAAATTCACTATATGCTCAGATGAAAAGTATATGGTTTCTTTACAGCTCCAGCAAGATTTTAAATGGAAAAACTGGGTGGAAAATTAATGTCCTTTTCAAAAAGAGAAACCTTTTAACAGTAGTTGGTCAGTTTTAGATTTCACCATTTAAAAATGCTTTCTGACAATTCTTGGGCATGTAGAAGAAGCTTCTCTTAATGAAGATTCCCCATCTTCAGCTTGGTTGGACTGTAAGCTATTGTCAGGAATGGGAATTTGGGAGTTGAACTTCATTCAGGAGGGGTACAGTTTGACCTATAAAGGTATTTTGGAGTCCTGGTATACAATTAATCTAATTTAACCTCTTTAATATACGTACTCTTGGATTCTTTCAGATGTTTGGCAAACACTCTTCTTGTTGACTAATCTTTCCTTGCAGCAAGAAGGCTTACTGAGAAGGAGATTTTCTGAGATCAGAGAATTTGCCATCTTAAGATTTCCACATTACTGCTTCTTCACGTTGTGCTCAATCTTTGGTATAGTGGGTTCTAAAATAGAACTTTATTTCCAAGGTTCCACTAGACTAGGCATAGGCAACCTCCGGCACTCCAGATGTTTTGGACTACACCACCCACGATGCTTAGCCAGCATTATGGGTGTAAGAGCATTATGGGGTATGTAGTCCACAACATCTGTAGTGCCGAAGGTTGCTTGTCCCTGCACTAGACTGTGATCATGTACATCACACCAAGCTGCAATATGGAGATCTAAATTCCCAACCACACTCCATCAGATCAGAGCCCCTAACCACAGCTGGGTCCCTGTTCTTAAAACCAGCACTGTATGTAACCCAATTCTTAAAGAAGCATTTTTTTTTTTTTTTTGTATGTACTTACTAAAGCAAATAACATGCCTAATGTTAAAAATGTTAGGTGTCAAAAATTGCCTTTGAGGCAAACTGGCCTTACTGCACTCTCTCAGCAAACATCAGCCTGTTTAAAAGGAAATTGGCGCGGTTAGAATAAAAAAACCTTTTTAATATGTTTTCAGTACAGTAACTTGTATATAGTGTTCACTGTCCAGTAATAATGTATAAATGTAAATTAGTCAAAGTAGACAAAATCTAATTACGTAATTTCTGTAGTCCGATTTCAAAGTTTGTGTACTCGCCCACCACCACCACCACTTTTACGTTTTGGTGAATAGGAGCTGTCGATGTTGTACATATTGCTTTGCTATTCTTTTGCACCTTTTTGTGATGTGTATTTATATTTTTGTGCAGGAAAATGTGAATTTTCGACTTCAATTGTAGATTATGTACAATGAAACTAAAACTCTGTTCTGGCTTGTAAAAACAAAAAATTAAAAAAAGGTTCAATGAAATGGCTTTCCCAAGGTTTCAAGATTAAAAAAAATATATATATTATTAATCTACAATTGATCAAGCTGTTGCTGCTGTGATATAGTCTGAAAATTGCATTTGGAGGGGTGTTTACCAGGACAACAGAAACTTTGCTCTAGGGGCAGTGCAGTTTGATGAGTTCCATCTTTTAAAGTATAACGCTTGCTTATTTTTTATGTAATGTAAGCAGTCTATTTTGTATGCATTTGCATCAAACCGCTAAATGAGAATTGTGGGTTTGTAGATTTGAGTTTGTTCAACCTAATTTTTTTTTTTATTATTATTAAAATGCTTGGGTGACAGTGATTTTTTTTTTATTTTTTTTTCCTAGATCCGTTTACATCTAAAAGTAGAATAACAGACAAAATTTATATTTACTAGGACTATTAAAAGAATCTTTCTATATTGTACAAAGTCAGATAAATCAGAAGAAATAAACATTTATACTATTCTATAGTAATGTTTTCTTGTATTCTTGTACACGTCCAATGATTCATCATAAATGGTGATTTCAGTTATTGCTACAAATTGGTTGGGGTTTGCCTTCGGGATCGCTTTTTTTTTTTTTGTGTGCAAATGCCAGCTAATCCGGCACCGTCGTTTTAATAACTGAACATTGAAGCCAAAAATGGCTTGAATTCTGCATTAAGAATTTGGTATTCAGATGGTAAGAACTGCAGTTTGTCCCTTTTATCTATCATTTGTAAACAATTGCTTACTGTCAAGATTTGTATTGTCAGTTTGGCATGTTGATAAATTAAAAGGGTACCCCTTTCATGACAAATAAAACTTAATTTTAAATTATAGAAAATCTAATCTAATTTATACATTGTGCAAGCAGAAATCAGAGAGGATTTTTATTTTTTTATTTTTCTTCTTTAATTCCTTTTCCCTACTGTCAGTCAGCCCAGTCTGTTAATATGCCATTTGACACAAAGGTTCTGCTCTGCATGTATGTTATCAGAAAAACTTTCCTCCGAGTGTGTCTCCCGCGTGCCTTCAGTCTAAGGGGAAAAAATGCCTGTAAGAAGTAGGGGGCAGGCTCTGTATTAGAGCACCAGCAGCATGGAGAGCAAGCACCAGAATAATTTATTACCATAAAGGGAATATAAAGTGTTGTGGACTTTTAACCTGATATGGGAAGCAAGTCTATGGTTCCTAACAGGGGTACACGGAAGTGGTTTGTCTAACATTGTTTCTCTTTATAGTAATGCCCAACATGGCATATCTTTTCTTTTTAAAATTACATAATTTACAAGGGCTGAGTAAGCATTTAAATGTGTAATGGTTCTTAAATCCATGCATAATGATGTGAACAGTGACAGAATTAATGACTTCTTTCACTCAATCTGTATACAATTAAGAATTGATATATACAGGGTTATTCACTATAGTGAGAATTAGTGAACTTTAAAATTAAAGGGATACTACTGGCAGCCAGACCAATTCAGCTCATTGAAGTGGTCTGGGTGCAGTGTCCCAGGCTCTTGAACCCCGCAATTCTAATTCTTGCAGTTTTTGATAAACTGCAATAATTATCTTGCTGCTTAATTCCACCACTAGTGGCTATCTACCAGACAGCCACTAGAGGCACTTCCGGGTCCTAAGAGGACTTTGTCTTCTTCTAAATGACGCTGGACGTTCTCACACTTTGCATAAGGACATCCAGCGGCACCCAAAACCCCTCAGGAATTGTGGAGCTTGACACGCATGCAAATTATGTCCCTCCGCCAGCTGACGTCAGCAGAGGAGGAGCAGAGGCAGAGCTTGAACCAGCGTCAAGTGACATAGGCGCTGGAATCAGGTAAATAATAAAGGGTTTATTTTCCCTTTAGGCCAAGTAGCTGATCTGAAAGCATTGCGGTGTTTGACAGTTTAAGGCCAAAAGAGGCACAAAATTCTCATATTTTCTTTTGAATTCTCATTTTATTCTGACAAAAGGCCGAGAGCTCATTTCAAATCTTGTCTGTCCATTGCTTTTGTGAGCTGTTGCTATTAACAGCCGGTCGCGGCTATAAATTACGCAAAGATTTCCAACCTTGTTGCTTTCTTTTACTGGATGGCTGCCAATTCTGACCAGATATTGAGGGGAAATGAAGGCATCCATTCTGTTCAGCACAGATTAACCACTGGCTGGTAAAGCACAGAAACGCGATGTGTAAGTAACCACCATAGCAACCACACCTCGCTGGTAAAAACCATTCATCCTGAGCATAAATTACCCTGTGATAAACAGAAAATTGCAACAGTGTCTACAATGTATTAAATTGGGATTTTGTGCTATGCCAGGTAAATACAGTAACTGACTTTTATATAAACAACCCACACAGAGCAGAAATTACAAACACATTTTAATTTTGGATTTATATCCCATATCTGGCCTTTCTTTTCATTGTATTGCATTTTAATATGGTGTAAGATGCTTTTATATATGCCCTTAAGGAAAATTTATAGGCACGCAGGCCACTTCACTTGAACTCTGCAGCTGAAAATATTGCAGTTGTGCAAGAAGAGCCACGTTTTCTTTGCACCAAATATGACAGCCAATAGAGGCGTTTCCATGAAATAGTGAAATTCCACTTTTTCTACCAAGAGGCCTCAGAGGTACCATCTGATTGGTGCAGTGCGGTATTTTGCCACTCATGCATATTAAATCCCCAATGCTTTTCTTCATCAATGATCTCAGTCATGGAGTTGGGGATTAGCCATTGTCAGAGCAGTGCAGCACGGAAAATGAACTCTTGAGGCGTTCATTTTTAACCTTCGCATGGGTTCACTATTCACCTAAATGGTGACTAGGGCACTATAGATTTAAGAATACACATATGTCTTCCTAATACTAATTTTCCTTATAAAGGTTATATTGTAATTGTCATATAGGATGTATAGGGATTTAGCTTCAGTTATTGACTTCTTTGACATTGTTTTATAGATCATTAAAGGGATTCTAGTGTTGGGAATACAATGTCTTATTACAACACTATAGTGCCTTCCCCCCGCCCCCCTACGCTAGTACGTCCAGCATCATTTAGGCGACCTAGAGTTTTAAATTTCAGGACTAAGGGGAACAGATACACTGCACCCAGAGCTTAGCGTCCCTTCAAAAATGTATTTTTTATTTTATTTTTTTTTAAATTCTTTATTTTCGTTTTGGTGCATCAATATCACATTTTCATACAGACGTAACAGAGATCATTCTGTGAGATAAGTGCACCATTTTGGGTCAAGCAATATCAATTCAGGTATTACAGAAACAATTTGAACAATATGTAGAAAAAATAAGTGTTATACAGTTGTTTTGTGTTTTTGGGTGACCGTTAAGGCAAGGCGTGCTTTTGCAGTATACGTGTGCGATAGTCTTGGGGATGTTAACTTTTTGCGTGAGTGTGTGGTAGTTGGGCTGTTCATGAGGGGGCAGGGATGTGGTGTAGTGTTAGTCCTATGTGCAGAGTTGAATGTGTGCCTATATGCCTTAGTGGTGTGGTGCTTTTTGTCGTTAGTGGTTGATCTAGCTTGGTTGCCCCTGACCTAGGGGGTGGCGGGAGGGGTGTGTGAACGTATGGTGGATGCCAGGTGGTTGGGTTTGCTGTGTGTGGGCCTAAGGTGTGTTGTACAGCCCGGGTCTCTGTGGATGGGTTATTCATTTGTTAACCTGTGGAGGTAAAGCATATGTATCGGGAAAGGAGGAAGAGGAGATTGTATGTCCATTGACACAAACGGTTGTCTATAGGCTATTAACTATTTGGAACTTTAAGGCACGGATGTGCAACTGTTGCAGTGGCAAAGCTAGTCATAGCAGCTCCCAATGTTTATGGCACTGGGTGTTGCGATCCACTGGGTCTTGGTTCGTGCTGAGTGGTGCTCTCAGGGCCCCATGTCGCTTCGAGCGGGCTTCTCTGATGTGTAGTCGTCGGGTTAGGCAGTCCCAGGGTGGCTAGCAGAGGAGGTGCTTCCTCCACTGAGGTCAATACATGGTTAGTTCCCTCATGGGTTACTTCTAGAGTCCCATTGGCGCCCCATCTGTAGGCGATACCCGCTGATCGGAGTTGTGTGGTTAGTGGTCCGTAGCTTTTGCGCCATAAGAGGGTGGCTTTCGAGAGGTCTTGAAAAAACATTAGTGAAGAGTCTTCAAACTTTAGAGGCGTCTTGTCTTTCAGAATTGCCACGATGTGAAGCTTGTCTTGCACTGTGATGCATCTAAGGATGACGTCTCTGGCTACTTTGTTTTTCAAGTGGGGGGTCCTGGCAAGCGGTATATTCCGTCTATGTTTATTTTCTTTACCACTGTGTGTGGGAGCACTGTGTTTAGCAGGCGCCTGATATATTGCGGCAGTTCTTCGATTGATATAGCCATGGGGATGCCCCGGATTTTGATGTGTGAGCGGCATTGTCGGTCTTCCATGGTGGACATTTTGATTGATAGGTAGGTTTGCTGCTGTTGTTGTTTAATAGCTTCTCCCATCTTGTTCATGTGAGTGTGGACCGACACCACCTCTTTCTCTGTGGTGCTCACTCTTTCTGTGACCTTGTTTAGTTCTGTCTTGAGGACAGCTGAGTCTGCTGCCAGGAGTTTGTGGATGTCTGCCAATAGGATTTTCAGGTCCCTTTTAGTGGTTGGGGCTGAATCATCCTCTGTTTCCAATAATGGTGACTGCTTTGTTTGTAGGTTACTGGGTGAGGCAGGTATGGGCTGCGTTAGAGATTGTGCCCTGTCCTGCTGTGTTGCATGAGGGTGCCACAGTGTGTCTTGGCTCTGTTGTGCTTGAGTGTGGCTGTTCATACTGCTGCAATGGAGGGTGCCCCTGGAGGTTGGGCCCCTGCCCTGTTGCCCCGGGTGCCATACCTGGTTGGTTCCTGTGGGGGCTCCCCGGCTGGTCTGGGCACTGCTCGGTATAGGGGGGCGCCTGTGTATGCTCCGGCGGTTCTGCCGATGGTGCCGGCCGGGTGTGTTGGCGGGCTTTTGGAACATGGCCCTATATCCCTGTCTCTGGTACCTTGGTGCCTTTGGGAGCGGCGTCCCATGGCCGGGGTGAGTTCCGGTATGTCAGGGATGTCCAGCGGGTACGTCTGGTCTATGTGTTTCGCCAGGTGTCCGCTTAGGATTTCCTCAAGGCCCAGGCTTGATGGTGCGTGGTAGGCCCCGATCTTGTTTTTACGCTTCTGTGGCTGAAAGAACGGCATTGAAAGGTGCAGCGTTTTGTGCTGTAGCCGTCTAGTCTTATATTATGGCTGGATGGTTACAGGATAGTGGGATTTTTGTGGATTTAGTTGGGGTGGTCTGGGAGCTGTTAGATATGGTGTCTGTTCTTGTTGAGTTGCAAGCTCCGCCCCCAAAAATGTATTTTTTAGCAGATAGTTCAGTGTGGTTATACTGGTGGGAGAGAAATGACACAATAGACTTATAGGTCTATTTCTGGTTTATGAGCATTTAGATGATTAGCTCTAGCACTGGGGCCTTTGCAGGAATGGGCATTTTGGAGATCAGCATTTCACATTCTTCTTGACAGCCATTCACGTTACCAAATAGGTACCCTCCACCCAACCCATTTGTTGCCACTACTTGAAATATTTTTATTTATTTTTTCTTCACAGCCCCCCATACATATATACATATAGGATATGCTAAAAGATTGCGCTTTCGTACAGCTTTAAACTAGCAGCAGCTGTGGGAATTGACAATAGTTAAATGTAAAAGTTTTTATATATATATATAGAGAGAGAGATATGTAAAGGCTTTACCTGTAGTTGTTGGAGGGGTTACCCGGCCAATAAATGCTCAGGATGACCTCTTACCTGGGTGGGTGTGGTTGCATGGAATAGCCTTCCAGCTGATGTGGTAGAGGTTAACACAGTGAGGGAGTTTAAGCATGCGTGGAATTGGCATAAGGATAACCTAGATATCAGATAAGGCCAGAAACTAATTAAAGTCTTTAGAAAATTGGATAGACTAGATGGGCTGAATGGTTCTTATCTGCCATCACATTCTATGTTTCCGGTTCCTGCTGATGTCCAAGCTACTACAAGGTGCACCTGTTTTTGGGCCAGTTTGGCCTCTATCTTCGCTCCCTGGGCTCATGTTAGGCTGTAGAAGCTGCGGAACGTAAATATCACAATGCTTAAATATGACATTCGAATGCCCTAGAACATGTCACGCCACTACATGTTTGGCATTTTCTAATCATTCACAGCTATTCAGCATATTATATTTACCACCTTGTATTTCACTTTTGAGTTCACTATATCATTCACAACATTCTACATGCAGCCCCTGTTGATACTAACCTGCAATGCTAATACTCACGGCCATACGGCCATCCCCTGTGATTCATATATTTCATTTTGCGTGGCAGCGCTCGTAGCTTTTGAGTGCAGTCACGCTCTGCCCCTTTGCAGTTTGCATATAAGTCAATTAGTACCAAAGTTTAGGCTGCCATTTGCCAACCCATGTTTGGTCACACGGTTCATTGGCATATCTACTTTTAGCTTTAGGCTATATATATCTTATTCATGTTCAGCGTTGGTCAATATAATAAATCAAAAATAATATACAAATTTATCCCTATAGAGGATCAATAAGTTGTTTTGGCGAGCTTGCAAGGGCACAATTCAGAGCATTGGAAAATAACTAATTCCAAAGAACTCCTACTAAGAGGAAAAATGGAAATGATCAAGTCCCTAAAAAATAAGGAAAGTTTATTCAAAATTGGACAAAAACTATATTGAAATCAGAAGTAGTCAAGGACTCAATAATCAGTAAAATAAATAAATCCATTACCTAACAAGAAAATATATACATATGGAGTCTCCTAATTAGATCTCAGTCTTTGGACTGATAGGGAGGACATATGTTTATAATCCCACAAAGGAAAATGGCACGGCAATATAAACCACAGCT